AAGCGCCAAAGTGGCAACAGCGCGCTCGGTTTGACCCAGCGGCGCTGCGCTAACCGTGCGACACATGAAGGCGGGCGGCCGAGCGCGAGTGATCGAGGGTTAATGAAAGAAACATTATTCTAGAGAAATTTCTATTGGCGAAAAATTTAGGGCAAAAGGTCGTATGCCCTAAAATAAATTATCCTCAGAAGTTGAGTTGAAATGATTCATCCGAAGTTTTTTTTGCTTTTCCTATCAAAAATCGTCATTTTTCGTTTTTTTTCGACTCGTAAAAATCCGACTACTTCAATTTTCAATATTTTTCTACAAAATTTTTTTTTTGTTTATTCCATATGATGTTTTACAAAATCAATCATATGAAATTTGAAATCATTCTATTCTTTCTGTTAAATAAAAAAAAAAATATTATTGAAAAATGAAAATTTCACGATATTTTATGCCCACACTTTTTTTAAATAAACAAGAAATATAAAAAATGGCCGAAATTATCCATCAAATACTTCTGGTACTCGAAAAAAGTGGTGACCCCCCCTTAAGGTAATAGGTGTGATAATGTGAAAAACTTGTCGATGTTTGAAATCAACAAGATCGATCTGTTCGTACGTGATGAATAGATAGAAACAGTGATTTTTCGTTTTTTTTTAACTCACAAAAATTCTACTAGTCCTTAAATTATCAATATTTTTCACCAAATTTTGTTTTTGTATTCCATATGACCTTTCGAAAATCCATCATATGTAATTTGAAATCACTATGCCTTCTGTTAAATAAAAAAAATAATGTTATTGAAAAATGAAAATTTCACGATATTTCATGCCCCCACTTTTTCTAAATAAACAAGAAATAAAAAAAATCGCCGAAATTTTCCATCAAATACTTTTGGTACTCGAAAAAAGTGGTGACCCCCCTTAACGTAATAGACGTGTCGCTTTCATAAACAAAGAAAACCCCACAAATTTTACATAATGTGCAAAACTTGTCGATGTTTGAAATCAACAAGATCGATCTGCTCGTAAGTGGTGGGTTGGTAGGAACTGACGAGGCGTTAAGTATTGTGCGATTTACCAACTTGGCTTGTTTACTTACCGTTACACCGACGTGTCGACACCCATTGTGTTAGTCTTCGCGCGCAAATTTTCAACAAAAGACAATTTCAAGGACGTTCGCGAGCGATAGTGTCATCCGCAGGGTCGATTACGGTGTACACACGCGAGCCATTCGATTGCCAAATCGAAATCGTTGTCTGGAATCATGAAAAAGGAATTGGGTCTCCGTGCTCGGACAATCAACAAATTATTCGTACGTCATTACCTCCATTTCGTTCAATGTGCGCTCTTGAAATCGCCCTTTAACCATCCAACCGCACGGTTCACCCGCGTGTGATATACGATAATGAGCCTTGGGATTTCCTTGTCGGTGATCAGGTACCCGATGTGAAAATGATGTAGTAGTGGGTCAACAGACGATCGTACCTATTACGCCATTTGAAAGCTCTATTTAGTTGGAGGATGTGGAATTATCCGACTTTTCGCACTTGACTCGTCGTTTGAAAAATTACATGGGATGGATACTGTTAGAAATTTTTCGAAATTTCATGGAAGATATTATAGTAAATCTCATGAGAGTGATATTTAATTGGATTTAGGGAAACAATGGTTGTGAAATTTCAAGTTTTACGTAGAATTCACGGAGATTCATGAGTTTTTGGTGGGAGTGAGATGGAAAGTTGACAACTGGATTGAATTTTCAGTGGAACATGAATATTCAGCAATAACATAACATGAATTTTCAATTTTTCCCTGATTTTTCTGAATTTTCACTGAATTTTTTCGTTCAAAATGTTCATCAATAAAAAATAAGAAAATCATCGTATTATTATACATTATTTTTATTATCAAAAAGCGAAATTTGTAATACAATTTCTACTATATTTTTTATAAAATAAAAAAAAAAAGCTGAAATTGTCTATCTTTTGGTTGGTGTTGACCTATTGGTTCGGTTACCCTATTCGATTTCTTTTCTCAGAATTGGTACACTTGACTCGTCGTTTGAAAAATTACATGGGCTGGATACTGTTAGAAATTTTTCGAAATTTCATGGAAGATATTATAGTAAATCTTATGAGAGTGATATTTAATCGGATTTAGGGAAAAAATGGTTGTGAAATTTCAAGTTTTAAGTAAAATTCACGGAAATTCATGAGTTTTCGGTGGGAGTGAGATGGAAAGTTCACAGCTGGATTGAATTTTCAGTGGAACATGAATATTCAGCAATAAAATAACATTAATTTTCAATTTTTCCCTGAATTTCCCTGATTTTTCTGAATTTTCACTGAATTTTTTCGTTCAAAATGTTCATCAATAAAAAATAAGAAAATCATCGTATTATTATACATTAGTTATATTATCAACAATCGAAATTTGTAATACAATTTCTATTATATTTTTTATAGAATACTAAAAAAACGTTGAAATTGTCCATCTTTTGGTCGGTGTCGACCTATTGGTTCGATTATTCTCCTCGATTTCTTTTCTCAGAATTGGTACAATCGTATTTCAGTAAGATGCAAATTGGAAACTATAACACACCAATGAACTACAGTTTTTTTTAATTTTCTGATCGTTAGTATGGCAGTTTTGTAAAATGAATGATCGGAAATTAAAAAAAAAATTTTAGTTTATCTATGTGTCATGACCTTCAATTTGCATCATACTACAATATTATTGTCTTTACCAATTCGATGCACAATTTTTCTTTCTTTAATTGGAATTGTCAACAAAGCTCTCATTTTTTTTTCATCACTATATTATGTATGTGATAACCAAAATTCAAGTCAGTCCATCAAAAATTCTGATGAGAAGAATATTTTGAAGATTTTATGCGTGTACAGCCACGTGGCGTCAATGAAAAAAATCAAAACTCGATTTTTATCATTTTTCAAGTATAAAAAATGCGTACTAAAATCATCAGTATGGTAGGGACAATCTCCTGCAACTTCCACATTTCAGCGATGTCTCCCCTTAACACTTAATATTACGAGATATCCCTGAACTTCATTAGTAGAAGAAAAAAAAGGAAGGAATGTTATCAGTAGCCAGAAGAACCACATTATGACATGCTGTTTAATGATATATTTGTCGCGGTAATGAGTGATTTTACGACAAAATATTTTGATATCGAGAAACTCATTACCGAGATAAATGCGTAATTAACAAAGTGCTGGATTTTACTCATTATCACCCAAAAAAATGATACCTCGGTGTAAGATTTCAAAGGTCTTGAATTAAGATTTTCAAAAGTCTTAATTTGAAGGCTGAATTTCTTAAGTTTGAGACTTTGAGATCTCAATTTAACCTGCTGAATGTTTCAAGTTGGGACTTTGGAAAGTTCTTATTTGGAGTTTCAAAGTCTCAATTTCAGACTTTCCGTTTCAAGTTGATACTTTTAATATTTCAAATTGAGACTTTAATAGAAACACTCAATAACTTATGAGAATGCAGTAAATCAAGTAATTTAGATTTCAAGAAAAAATAGGCCGTGACTATTCGCACCATTGCGTGAATCACTCCCGTACACATCATACACTCCACGCATGCGTGAAGTTTGTGTGTTTCACGCAGCCGAATTTTCATACTGCTGTGTATTTCACGCAGTTGAAGTTTCATACTACTGTGTGTTTCACGCAGTTGAAGTTTTATACTACTGTGTGTTTCACGCAGTTGAAGTTTTATACTACTGTATGTTTCACGCAGTTGTATTTTTATATGCCTGTGTGTTTCACGCAGTTGTATTTTTATACACCTGTGTGTTTCACGCTGTCGTATTCAGATACTCCTGGGTATTTCACACTCCTGTGTGTATAAACACACAGGTGTATAAAACTTCAACTGCGTGAAATACACAGCAGTATGAAAATTCGGCTGCGTGAAACACACAAACTTCACGCATACGTGGAGTGTATGGAGTGTACGGGAGTGATTCACGCAATGGTGCGTTCAGTCACGGCCGAAAAAATATATAATTCTGCCAATCAAATTCATTTCGACAAGAATTTATAGCGAAACTTCAAATGGAAATTTGAGATATTTGCTTTTCTAAAACAAATTTGATCGGCAGAATTATATTTTTTTCCCAGTGGAAGAGAGTTCTCAAAGTCTCAACTTGAGACTTTTGAATGTCTCTTTTGCATGTTAAAAGTCTCAATTTGAGATTCTAAGTCTCAAAATGAAGCTTGTTTTCAAATAATTCATCAGATGATTCATGATTTCATGAATGTTTTGAAATCATTCATGAAATGATTCATGATTTCACGAATGTTTTGAAATCATTCATCAAATGCTTCATGATTTCCTGAATGCCGCTTAAATGACCTTTGTTGTAAAACTGTAAAATTTATTGTAAATCCGTAAATCAATGATCACTAGCGAAGTGCACTGATAGAACGGATTAGTTATTATTAACGAATGGATTTTGGTTGGAGGTTACAGTCTATTCTGTCCCACCAAATGTTCATTCGTTAATAGTTAACGAATGTATATTTGAGGAGCCCTGTTTGACTTGACCATTCAAGTGAACCATTCGTTAACTATTAACGGATATTCATTTGGTCATATTCAACTCTACCATTCGTTAATAGTTAGCGAATCCCGTTTGGAATAAATGGATCATTCTATCAGTGTGGGGAGTGACTGCGAAATAAAAATATGTTAAAATAATGCAAGTTGTATGGATGGGATACTTGGTCGTATAACTTTCTGGATATTTATATCTTCCTGAAGCTTCCCGTCATGACAGCTTTGTCAAATTTGATCGATTAATGATTTCATTTTTATATTGTATGGACTGTAGTTTGATCCTGTAGTTGGCCTTGTGCTGTTGAGTCGCTATGAAATAAAATTAAATGAAATGAATGTTTTGAAATCATTCATAAAAATTTTTATACCTAATTCTTCGCAAATGAATGCAATCGACTAATGACGTATGTACTGTCATATTTTCAGTGAAGTGAGCATATCCTCCGCCCGCGCGTCGGTGATGGTCTACGACGACGTTAACAAACGATGGATACCAAGTGGCAGTTCATCGGGCCTCTCCAAAGTACAATTGTACCATCACCTTGTTCACAATACATTTCGTGTTGTTGGACGAAAACTACAGGATCACGAGATCGTGATAAATTGCGCAATACTGAGGGGACTAAAGTACAATCAGGCTACGGTGACGTTTCACCAGTGGCGAGACAACAACCAAGTTTACGGTCTCAATTTTTCGAGTAAGGACGATGCAGATGCCTTCGCCAAAGCAATGCTCCAGGCGCTCGACGTAAGTAAAGTTGTTCGTCTGATAATTGTTTCTTTTTTTTATCAACTTGAATTTCCCCCATTTTTGTTATCTCTCTTTTCTTCAACGGAATTATGAAAGACTAGACGCGGCTTACTGTGATGTCTAGGTCGCTATGGTTTCAATTAGACTCTGTGCTCCAGCCTCTTGGCTCCTTTCATCTTTCTTTGATGAACTTCTTCGCATTTTTTTGTCGTTGTGAACATTAATGCTGGTAGCAACTTCCCCTGATACCTGCCCCACTTTTTTTGCTTTTTATTTGCGGATATACAAATGGGACAGCCTCTGCAAGTGAATCGGTTTTCAAATAGAAATGTTTTTCCGATTTTTCAAACAAAAACTTGATACATTCATTAGGGATAAGTAGACAGTTGATGCGTATTTTATTGCAGGGAGTGTCCCACCAAAATATTTTCTAGCCGCCTCATACACTAATGATGTCCAGGGCTTAGGGATAGTCAAGGGTCTTTTATAGATTGGCACAGACCACACTATAGATCCAACCATTTTCAATCATCAAATTTGTCAATTAAATTGCGTGTGAAGAATTTAAAAAAATCATGATTATTCAGCGGCATTCGAATTACATTTTGCACAGAATTATTATTTTTTTGAACATTCATTGTTTGTAGATAAATCATTGAAAGTGTTTAAACTTTCGGAAATCTTGAACATGAATACATTAGTTTCGATTCCGCACAAATGATTTTTATGGTGGAAATTTGATTGTTTATAAATTTCTTATAGAAAATTCTCGTAATTTTCGGAAATTGGAGTTTTTCAATTATTTCATCAATCTTCCTTCAAAAGTAAACTTTCGATTTTTTTTCAGATTTTAAAATGTTTTTTAACGGTGTAATATCGAGATTCAAATAAGGCATGAAACATCATGAAATTTTTTTTTTCAATAAGACTAATTTTTTATTCAACGGAAGGAATTGAGGGATATCAAATTCCATACGATTGATTTTACGGAAGGTCATATCGAATACACAACATAATTTTAGTCAAAAATATTGAAATAAATTAAAATCTCTTTGAAAAAATTGAGAATTTTTTCTACTTTTTTTTGATTACTCATAATTTTTCAAAACTTCTGCATGATTCAGGACTTAATTGACAATTTCAGATGACGAAAGATGAAAAAAAACATCGAGATAACGTTCGAAAAATAGTACACCCGAGCTTTAAATCACCGAATTTTTCCATCAAATCTGTTACTTGATAAATGTGGTGTCGCCCCCCTTAATCACTCCTTCACAGTAGTAACATGGAAAATAATGATTAATAAATTGCTCCAACTAGACGTCAATTTTCCGTTAAAAGCTAACAGCCAAATTTATATGACCATCTTTCCGGTAGACCTTTGAAAACTCTCATCAGTCTTTTCATTCTACTTGATTAGCTCCATCTCGATAAATTGAGCGCTAATTGTCGCTGTATTTTACGTAGGTGCTGAGCAATGGGAGTAACATATCGAGAAGTCTTGTTCCAACTGTCACGCCGGCTGGCCAGCAGCAACAGCAGCAGCAGACTGTCTACTCGCAACAACCTCAGCAGCAGCAGCCTCCACCGGCTCAGGGTGCGACCCAGTACGAGGAGGACATGGGATATAGGTACGAAAACCAGTAAGACACTTATAAACCATAAAATTATTTATAACGTACTATAGACATAACTTGAATTTTGAAGATTAAAGCCTGAAATAAATTCATAAATCTGAAATATATGAATAAAAACATTCTGATTGAGTTTTTGCTCAATCTTCAGTCTAGGATTATTGATAATAATTAATCTAGAAGTGAAAAAATAACACAGAGTCTTAGGAAAAAATGAAATTTTCGAAAATGCGAAGATTGAGGATCTAGTACAAATCTCGAAAAATCATTTTAAAAATACATAAAATTGCTATTCTCAATATGAAAATTATCGTCAGCACCCGAAATGGCGGGTTATGTCGAAGAACCCTAGTTAAGCGAGAGACTATTGTTTGAAAAAATAATTGAAGAAAGAATTTGGTGGATTAATTTGTTACACTCATCTTGCAGGATATCCAAGAATCTTTTACAGTTTAGTATAGACTACACTGTAGATTAAAGTATTTTCAATCATCAAATTTGTCAATTAAATTGCGTGAGAAAATTTTGAGAAAAATCATGAATACTCAACATCATTGAAATTCAATTTTGCACAGAATTATTATTTTTTTAAACATTCGTTGTTTCAGGCATGGGCATAATCATAAATTTTAAATAAAGTTAAATTTTGAATGAGTCAATTATTCACAGTAATCATTGATTTTTTAATTATTGTTAAATTAATCATCAATTAAATATTCACATTCCGAATTATTTTATTAATCAATAATTGAATTCTCAAGATTGATGATTATTGGGCTGAAAGCAATAAAATCACATGAATTTTCAATTTTCTCCTGAATTTCCCTGATTTTTCTGAATTTTCACAGAATTTTTTCGTTCAAAATGTTCATCAATAAAAAATAAGAAAATCATCGTATTATTATACATTATTTTTACTATCAAAAATTGAAATTTGTAATACATTTTCTACTATATTTTTTATAAAATAAAAAAAAAGCTGAAATCGTCTATCTTTTGGTTGGTGTCGACCTATTGGTTCGGTTAATTATTGGGCTAATCGAAAATCCCTCTTATGAAATTTAGAAATCTTTACTCAATAGTCAAATGACAATTTCATGTTGTCAATTATTTAATTCACAGTCAATTGAAAATTTAAGTTATCAATTATTTTATTATTTTTCTAATTTCAATGAAAGTAAGTAAACCTTAATTATTGAAAGGTGCAACCTCTCATAATATTACTGAATTAATGATTGATGCCGATCCATGCGTTGTTTATAAATAAATAATTGCAATTATTTAAACTTTCGAAAATCTTATTTTCTTATGCATGAAGTCGAATTCTGGTAAAATTCTAAATATGAATAGATTTATTACGATTCCGAACAAATGATTTTTGAGGTGGAAAATTTATTGTTTATAAATTATTCATAGAAAATACTCGTAATTTTCGAAAATTGCAATTTTTCAATTATTTCGTCATTCTTCCTCTAAAAGTAAACTTTCTAATTTTTCTTCAGATGTTTAAAATGGTTTTTAACGGTTCATTATCGACATTCAAATTCAGACCTGCCAAGTTTGAATAATAAAATCATTGCAAATTGAGCTTAAATGAAAGCTCTGATGTTCGATTACAAAAGCAGAAAATCACTTCACTGGAGAAAAAATAGCCAAAGTGCTTGGATATCCTCAAGAAAGCCAACTTAAAATATTTGACTAAGCAATAACTCTTATCCATAAAGTAGAGTAATCCAATAATGCAAATCCCTGTGCGTCATATTTCGGGTATTCCCAGAATAATTCATAATCAAAGTTAAAGACTCATTTCCTGGGTGATTGCAGTAAAGCCCAGGGTCAGTGCACAATGGATACTGTAACACGCTTCTCACTATCACTCGGTCAACAGTTTGCGGGGGGTACAACGTCCTCCTCAGTGCCCTCGACTCCCACCCTAAATCAGAATCATCACCCATCCATTAATAATGCTGTCAACACCACAGCGCCTGTTACGAGGTGATTTCCGATTGCTTGAGGGATCATTCATGAAAGGGAAAAAAAAATATAAATCCGGAAATAGTATTCCAATTCATCTGATTTGTGTACCTGTTAGCTTAAAGAAAAAAAAAAGAAATTAGGTGCATGTCTTCACTTCCCCCGTCATTAATCACATAATTCCTCTTGCACTCCTACATACGAACTGTCATTATGACGTTCATCGGGATATGACGGGATAATATTGAGTGTGACACACTGTTGAATGAGGTCATGTGACGGTGGTTTTTAGATAATATCGTTTAACGCCCTTTTTATAGGTAGCTGGTTCCTAGAGGTACATAAAACATTACGTCTATTGTTAAATACGTTAGTCTCTAGCTGGCTGACTGATCTTGCTTGGCATTACATACGTCGTTTTTTGAGTCGTGCGAAGAATAGGTGAAGACGTGTTTCTATTAAAATATGATGTTTTGTTTTTTAGGACTATGACTAAGGAAGACGTCGCCATTATTCAGGAACGTAGAATGTCTCAACAGAGTCAAGGTACGTGATTAAAACAGCGTTTTTAATTGGGAATAAGTAGTGGGTGATACATGGAAAATAATCCATGGAGAAATTTAGCGCATTCGTTGGAAAATATTTTCGGAAAAAAAGCATGGGCGATATCTTGAATTGAATAGGAGAATGGAGAAAGTAAGGCGGTTTTCATGAGCATAATCGTCTTGCGTCGAATTTTCATGAAGCCCGCCTAACAAACAGAAGAGAATTTAATACCATTCCATGAAACATGAGTAAACTAATCATAATTGTCCAAATCATTTAGGTCAGAGGAAAATAGAAAAATTCTACTTTCTTAATATTGCGTTTACTAAGGTGTTCTTCGAACAAAGTTGATTAGAATTAATAGCTAGAATTATGAGATTATCTCACATTTTTGACGTTAAGGATAGGAGAATCTGAATGCAATATAGCGAAAATAATGATCGATTTTTTCACTTTGAACAAATAATATTAATATCCAAATACAAAATTTCTGATATGAATAAAAAAAAGCTGTGACTCAATGTTCCAAATGAAGTTTTAATTTTTAATTTGGTGCTGAAAACACTAGATGACAATATTCTAAGCACGGAATTATGTTGATGAGATTAACAACAGATTAATTGAATTGCTGTGTGAACTAACTAAAAATTGATAACAGTAACCAGACTATCAACAAACATTGAATTCCAGGAACTCACAGTCTAAAGTGTATTCCAGAAGGAATTGAATTGTAATTATGATTAAAATCTTATTCAGTGAGAATAGGAATCATAACATGAGCAAATCATTCATTGTAATATGAAAATTTAACAGCTGACAACTTGGGACATATGATTCTCATCAGTTGTGTTGCTTTTTGCAATGAAAATGATTATAAACAATTAAGTGAAAAAGGCAATATCGAATCAAAATTTTTGTTAAACTTTTATTGAAAGTTCTAGTATTTTTCGCAGATTCTATAGAGAAATCTAGAAACTTTTCGGTGTGTTCTTTCAAATAGAAATCTTCAATAGAGAATATTCTATAGAAAAAATTAATAGATTGCAATTTTTCCAGGCTTTTTTCTCCCTCCACTATGAAAAATCAAACATAAAATCATTTGAAGGATTCTCGTCGAGGAATTTCTATTAACAATTAAAAATTGAAATTTGTCTACCTTTATTAAAATAAATATTATTTTAAAATTAAAATGAATATTATCATTTTGAGAATATACCAAAACAATTAGTTGTCTAAAAAGGTTAAATGTTAATAATTTCTCCCATGTATTTTCTATCGAACATTTCTGTTGGGAAGAAGGCACAGAAACGCGTCGGAATTTTCTGATGAAATTGCCGAAAAAATACTATAATTTTAGATAAAAATCGAATAGTTTATTTTTCCACTCATGTCCTGCACCGATTATTCACTCCTCAATTTTTGAATTCACCTCAACAATGGGCTCATATAAGTGTAAATAATGGGAATCAAGTTGCAAAGATTACGTAGAACATTAGTTACGTTAAAATTCGCACGCGAATGACAAGTACACTGTTAGAAAATTACTCTTGAAATTCCAAGCGAAAAAGCTTGAAATTTTTCACAACGACAAAATTACATGAAATTTTTGCATATTTTTTCATTGACGAATCAGTTAATTTCTTGAATATTCAAGTAATTCTCGATTCTCAGGTGCATACGGCACTGAAAAACCTTAAAATTTTTGAAATTTCAAGCAACAACTTCTAAATTCTCAATCTCTTGAAAATTGAATTGTATGTAATGTTTAATTATCACGATGAGTTTGGAAATTCAAGTTTTTATTGAAAAAATTGAAATATTAAAATCTTAAACTATTTAAATATTTAAAATATTTAACATGAAAGACCCAATTTTCTTGAATTTTCAAGCTGAATGAGAAACTTAATGTGCCCTTTTATTTGAAATTGAATTCAACCTCACACCCTCAAAAATTCATTTGACGCTGTAACTGAAATATCAAGAAAATTGTAACAGCGTAGCGCCCGGAATTCGGCGACCCCAACGCGCCGTTATTATCTGAACCCAAAATGCAGTAATGTCACCCCCTATGAATCCGCCAGTGCGAGTCACCACAACTCAATTCCCTCAAAAATGACATCTTGCTTTTCGTCATAATAACGATCACCTCCTTAAAATTGCAGGTTCAAACGGAGCCCTGGCAGTCTCCCCAAGCTACCAAGTCCAGCCGCAGTCCCAGCAGCAGCAGCAGGCACCCCCTCAGCAGCAGCCGGCTCCCCAGCAGCAACAGCAACAACAACAGCAGCAGCAGCAGCAGCAATCAGGCCACCACAGAACGTCTTCAGCGCCGCCAGCGCCCCAGCCCCAGGCGCCGCCAATGCCCGGCACCATGGCAGCCCTGAGGCCGCCGATCTCGGGTCCCCCAGCACCACCTCCAGTGCCGCCGGCGCCACCCTGTCCACCCTCGATGATGAACCTCAACTCAGCCCCAGTGCCACCCCCAATGATGAATCAGTACGCACAATCACCTTCCCAATGTAACCTATCCAATCAGTCCACACAGCAGTCTCCCTCGATCTACGGTAGTAATCAAAATCAGTATACAAATAATCAGAATCAGTATTCGGGTAGTCAGCCAAATCTCTACGGAAGTAACGCTAATTTTCAAGGCAATCAGTATGCCAGCAGTCAAAATTCCCAGTACGGTGGTAGTCAATATGGCAGTAGTAATTCGATAAATCAGTATGCCAGTACACCGAGTCAGTATGGCCAGGGCCAGGCCCAATACACTGGCACGGGCCAGGGCCAGTATGGCCAGACCGCTAATGTCAATCCTTACGGTACACCGGTGAATAACGTCAATCAGTATGCTAGTGCTGGTACACAGTGTGCTAACGCATATACTCCGGTTGTTAGCAGTGGCGGACCACCACCACCTCCAATGGGACCACTCGGGGGTCCCGCTGCTCCACCTCCACCCCCACCCCCGCCCGCTCCCAATAGCTGTGCCAATAGCACAGCCAACTGTGAACCAGCACCCGATGTTAATTCCCTTGCAGCTGCACTGCAGGCTGCGAGATTGAAAAAGAAACAGGTGGGTTGATTTTTGGAATTTAGTATTTCAGGGGGAGCGCTTTGGATTGTAGGGGTAATGTATCTATGCTCGGCCAGATGTCGTGAGTTATCATATTTTAAGTGTATTACACCCTTTTCGCCAAAATTCTGGTTTTTTTAATTTTTCTGGTCAATTAGGGATCGAAAAATATAGCGTTTTTGTGTTTTATCATTACTTAATGACTCACGAAATTTCATGATCGTGCATTTTCCTGCGTTTTTCCTAAAACTTTTCGGAAATTAACAAAACTTTGGAAAAAATGCAGGAAAATTATTGCACTACCATGAAACTTAAATGGTAGTGCAATAATGGTATATTATTTCGCGTCAATCCGATTAATAATTTACCAGACAAATGAAAAAAACGTGAATTTTGGCCGAAAGGATGTAGCACATTCTTGATCATTTCGACAGTTCCAAGTGTATCAAGAGTGAAGTACGATTGGAGTTAGGGGAGAGTGGGGCAAAATGAAGCAGTCGACAAACGACTGCTTGACGCAATTCAAGCAAAACAAATTTTTTCCGTTAAATATTTTTTTTTTACTAACTTTTCTTTATCAACTTTTTTTATTCATGGGAGTACTGATAAGAATAATAATTTTCCATTCAATAGAATGGAAAGTTATTGGAAAATTTTGACGGGAGAGGATTTTGTCAATGGATTTATTGAAAAGAAAATGAAACAGCAAAGTCCGAAGTCCAGAGCACGGCTCCGGGGGGGGGGGATCCAGAAGGGGAAAAAGGGAAATGTGATGCTGAATTTCGATCGAATAAAAAACGAAAAGTGTAATCGGCCTAATCTAATCGATTGAATTATAATCAATTGAATTATAAGACGAATAGAAAATTATTATTCTCATCAGTACTCACAATAATAAAAAAGTTGATAAAAAAAATTTTTTTTGCTTGAATTGCGTCAAATAGTCGGTTTTCGGCTGTTTCATTTTGCCTATTATTTTAGTTGATAAGGAAAATTGTAGGTACTAATGAAAAGTGATTTATTAAAGAATGAGAGAAAGCCGCAAGTTAAGAAACTTAAAATTTTAAAACGTTGATATGTCCATGATAATAGTAAAATGGGATTAAAAATCCCCTCACTGGGGTTTCGGATGGTTAAAAAACAATGAGTCTCACGTTTGAAACATTCACAATTTTTCTCGCATTTTTTGTTCCTTTATAGGATGAAAAGAAACATAGAAATTGATTCCACTCCATAATTACTTTACTTGTTTGGTAATTTTTCTACTTTTTTGTCCTTACAATGGAGAAAAAAATCATGATTGTCCTTACAATGGAGAAAAAAATCATGATTGAATAAGACGTGTAATCACTACCAACGAAAATTCCTTGATATGATTCACTACAAGAAATCGAAAACCAACAAACGAAATGAATGACATAATTCTGCTTGCAAAAATAATTGTTTACTTTACATTCCTCATGATTCCAGCAAGCACAACCAGTTGAAAACAGTGGTTCCAGTACAAGCAGCAGTGGAAGTGGCGGGGGTGGTAATTATGGGACCATCGGACGTGGTGGTGGAGGTGGTATGGCATCGATGATGGACGAAATGGCAAAGACACTGGCTCGTCGTCGCGCTGCTGTCGAGAAGAAGCAACCCGAGCAACCACCAGTATGTCCCTAAACATTGAGAAGTAATAATTATCCTAATGCATTCCAATATCAATACCTCGAAATTATTGCAGGAGCCAGAGAGTTCGCCGGACAAGAAATCCTGGGACAAGAGTAATGCATCGAACAATAAATTTTCAAATGGCGCAGAATCGCCAAAATCAGCTCGGAAGAGATTTGGCTCGGCATCGGAAGACACGCTTCTCAAAGTCAATGGTATTAATGAGGGGGCTTTTCTCACTGCTCAAGAAATGGAGGCTTTCAAAGCTGAAATAATCAAGGAAGTTAAAAAGGAGTTTCAGAAAATGAAAACTGACATTGTTGAAGGTAAGTTTCATCACAGTGACTGATGTAGTGAGCCCTGTTGTTGACCTAGAGATTTATAAATGCGTTTTAACTGTAAGCAATTTAAAAACTCAAAAATGAAAATTTTTTTTAACTGAAAACAAGTGGGAAATTGCTCTTGTATTGCCTGTAGTTCCGAACGGCTATTTTGCACATCATTTCCTTCTATCATGTATAATTCATTGTTTATTTCATTTCATTAAATTGAATGAGATTTCTTTTCCACTAATTTTGTCAGATTTTCAACTTAGTTGAATGTTGTCATCATCATTATTCTTATTATCCCGTTCTTCTGTACAACAGATTGTCTTTTGTAGAATTCTATCTCTCTCCTCAGCCCTTCGATAAAATGTTAATAGAAAAATTTTATTTACACATACTTGAATGACTTTGAAACATCACATTTGAAGGAACTCAGAAAGCTCATTCAATCAATTCAGAACATTTTTTGAGTTATCGTGGGACAACCGATTTTCGAAAAAATTTGAAAAATGAAAAAACTAATCGATCAATTGCATTTTAATTAATGACGATTGATAGGGCTCGACGATGCATTTGAAAAAAGGAGATTCAATCCCCTCCATTCATTAGTCGATACAACGCAAAAAATCTAAAACTTGAATTTAAACGATTACAAAGCTTCCATTCGGAAGCAAAAAAACATAGAAAGTTTACTGTTCAGGAACCATTGATTAAATACTTTTATTCACTCATCTTATTCTCTCAAATCTTATTTAAAAAAATAATAATTCTGTGTAAAACCTAATTTGAATGACGTTGAATATTCATGATATTTTTTTAAAATTGTTCATTATTTGTCCGAATTCAGGTGACAAATTTGATGATTGAAAATTATTGAATCTACAGTGTAATCTGTACCAAACTGTAAAAGATACTTGGATATCCTTAAATGCAGTTGCGAAATAACAGACTGAAAAATTTCGATTGTACTTCAGTATTTACATGAAAGTCTCTCTTGCAAAGCGAAATGAGATTTACAAGAACCTCTGAAAAACGTCTCCATCATCCTCAGACTCAAGGACATCTATACAAGAAAAATTGGCCCTTAATTGGTCTCTCGAACGAGCCCTTGAGTTAGATTCCAGTGGTCAATAATTGGGCTCACTACTTCAATACTATTTTATAACTTGCAAGAATATTCGCTAACAATTTTCATAAATTTTCACAGCTCTGAAACTCGAGCTGAGCAGAAGGTAAAGAACCGAGGATAATATTCCATCGACTAAAAACGGTATTCATGAGAGATTTGATTAGATAGGTGAACCACAGCATCATCGACAGCAACATACGAGGTTTTTAATAAAAACTAATAATAATACTATTGATAATAACGATTAAAAAAAACCATTCGAGGAAAAACGGAAAGAGATGCAAGCGCAAAAATCGTGTAGCAATATCCGTGTATATCAGCCATTTGTGTGTAAGTACTTTAATCTTAGATTAGTGAAATTGAAATTCTCAATGCCCCAATCTGTCATTGATAATTGATGAGGAGATGACACTTGGACCAATTGAGCTGTCAGTGAAATTGCCAACGCACATTGATCAAACGATTTTTTTAAAATTCCTTTCTACGAAGTGACTGTTTCAACAGTATGCCTTTATTACTGTATAATCATTCGATATTTTTAAGGATTTTTTATACTTCATTTAATGGGACTTTCTCAGCTTGATTGGTCCCACGTGGAACGGTATAAAGTAGCTTAGTCGTCGTTGATTAATTTATTAAAATTGAATCTAAATCAAACAGACGATTTAATGCACAAAAATGTACAGTTCACCAATGTCGTGGCATAAATTTTTGTAATTCACGTGTTACGTTCAGTTCTCCAGTCATTTTGTATTAAAAAAACCAGCGCAAAAGTGATTCAAGATTGCATTTAACGAGGTACATATCACGATCATTCTGATACATTCCGTTGAATTGTTCTTCAGACTGATGACGCGAAAAATTCAGGTCATGCTTCAATCCTGTCGGATTATTTATGTGATTCATTAATTATTAGTTGATTGGGGATTTCCAAGTCATGAATGCTGTTGCCACGACTTGGATTCATTCAAATCGTTCGTCTATGAAACCCATAACAAAATAAGTTGAAAAAAAAAAATCATCAGTTGACAAAAGTAGTGATTAGCGAATTAAATTATTATTTTCAAGAAGTCGTTCGAGTGTAACGATTAGCGTGTGAATGATTGCTGAATCGTTCGGACTAGGCTTTGCATATAAATATCTAATTGGCGAGGAAACGAAGGAGGCATGGTATTCTTAATTTTAACTGCGAAATATCTCATTCTTTTCCTGAAAAACTGAATTCGATCGACTCACTCGTGATTAATCGTAAGAAAGTATAATTTGATGTTTTTTCATGAACACGTACTGATTCTAAAATTCTCCAGACATTTTGTTTGCCTTCAAGACTGAATCGGAAGAAAACAATCTCAATAATGTAAATAAACCGAATGTGATTGATATGTGGTGATCCATCACGTCACATGAAGCCTAGTGGTCCTCTGTGCACTGTTAAATACAGCACAAAAATGAAACAATGTGGAGCGATAAATTAAGCTAATTGATAGCTTTTGATATCATTTATTCAGTGACTAAAATTACGAAAAAACAATGTGCATTTTATTATCCAATTGACGACTGAAATTCGTATTAATTAAGGGGGGACGGCGGTGAAATTTAAAAGTTGCAGGGGGTTCTCTATCATACCGAGGGCTTTGGTATTTTTTGGACTAAAAAATGGGGAAAAATCAAGTTTCAATTTTTTCCAACGACGACATTGGGTTCTACCACATTGAGCTCAGCTCATTTCATCATGTGGACAATTCATCATATGTAAAATTCATCTTTACAGTGAAAGCTAAGAAACAAAATATGATTGAAATATTTAAGCCAAAGTCAAATTTATTCTGCTATTAGTCGGCGGTCTTATCATCATTGTGAATTTCGTTTAATTCTTAATTTCTCTCAAATTTATTATCTTTACAATGAAATTGAAGACAAAAAACATTAGTGAAATATTTAATAAAGCTTGTAATGTTGTCAAATAAAATTGCGGAGTTCATTTGATATTCAATTACTGGAATGGGAATTCAAAGCCAGATGTTGTTAATAAATATTCTCCACAATGGGTTGGGGTTCTCTATAATAGAGATGACTTTGGTACTTATTTTTTATACTAAAAAATGGGAAAAAATCCAGCTTCAATTTTTTTCAAGGATGGCATGTGGGTTCTACCACTGATTAACATGAAACAATTCATAATTCCATGTCATTACAGCACAACTGAGCTCAGCTCACTTCATCATGTGGATAATTCACATGTAAAATTTATCTTTACAATGAAAGCTAAGAAACAAAATATGATTGAAATATTTAAGCCAAAGTCAAATTTATTCTGCTATTAGTCGGCGGTCTTATCATCATTGTGAATTTCGTTTAATTCTTAATTTCTCTCAAATTTATTGTCTTTGCAATGGAAATGAAGACAAAAAACATTATTGAAATATTTAATGAAGCGTCTAATGTCGTCAAATAAAATTGCGGAATTCATTTGACATTCAATTATTGGAACGGGAATTCAAAGGCAGATATTGTTAATAAATATTCTCCACAATGGGTTGGGGTTCTCTATAATAGAGATGACTTTGGTACTTATTTTTTATACTAAAAAATGGGAAAAAATCCAGCTTCAATTTTTTTCAAGGATGGCATGTGGGTTCTACCACTGATTAACATGAAACAATTCATAATTCCATGTCATTACAGCACAACTGAGCTCAGCTCACTTCATCATGAGGATAATTCACATGTAAAATTCATCTTTGCAATGAAAGCTAAGAAACAAAATATGATTGAAATATTTAAGCAAAAGTCTAATTTATTCTGCTATTAGTCGGCGGTCTTATCATCATTTTGAATTTCGTTTAATTCTTAATTACTTTCTAATTTATTATGTCTTTACAATGGAAGTGAAGACAAAAAACATTACTAAAATATTTAATGAAGTGTCTAATGCCAAATAAAATTGCGGAATTCATTTGATATTCAATTATTGGAACGGGAATTCAAAGGCAGATGTTAATAAATATTCTCCACAATGATGGATAATTTTTTATCGATCAATTGTGAAGAATTTTCCATGTGAAGAATTGTCTAAATGCTGGAATGTCCAATGATGAGTCCATGTGATAATTTTTAGTGATCAAATGGCCAGTATTGTCATGTTACAATACATGAAATCTTTAAAATAGTCCCCCTATGAGAATTCTTCATAGATTGACTTGAATTTTGGTTTCCACACACATTATATATCGACGAAAAACATACGTTTTTTTTTTATTCAAATTTTTAGATTTTTCTCCTCAGAAAGAGTAGAGACAATCGTATTTTAATGCGGTATAATACACTAATGATCGAAAAAATGAAATTGTTATTTCATTTTTTTGATCATTAGTGTGGCAGTTTTGCAAAATGAATGATCAAAAATTCAAGAAAATTGTAGTTTATTGATGTGTCATAATCTTCAATTTGCATCACACTACAGATAATCTTTTATTATTTTTTTTGTGTTATTTTATTTTTTGATCATTACTATGGCAGTTTTGCAAAATGAATGATCAAAAATTCAAGGAAATTGTAGTTTATTGATGTGTCATAATCTTCAATTTGCATCGCACTACTATTATTCAATGATTGTTCTCATCGCCATGATATTAATTAACTTAAAAAAAGTCAGGGGATGTTGGGGAAATAATTAAGACGTTGATTGAATTGTCATAGTGCGACGTTTTGCTAAATTATTTTAGCTTCGTCGCGCTCTTGACGGCAATCTACGTCAAACTATTTCCACTAATATTAGTGTCAGAACACATAACTTACAAACAAAATCACAAAAAATACAGGATCGAAGGGACAATTTATTTAATGTCGTAAATATTTCTCCGATGTCCCCTGATCTCTCTTAAATTGATACAATATTATTGTCTCCGTCAATTCGGAGCAAAAAAATCGAAAAGATTTTCAAAAAAGCTGACATATTTTTTTTCGTCTCTACAGAATATAGAATATTAGAATATTTATCACTGCATTTCAAGGGAGATACACCCTATGGCACGGGGCCATGTTACAAAGAGTAAAAAATATTATTGTGGTATCAAATGAGGTGACATAACAATAAAATAAAATTTCGTCACTATATTACGTATGTGGCAATCAAAATTCAAGTCAGTGCATCAAAAATCCCGTTGAGGGGACTATTTTGAATATTTACGCCTGTACAGCCACATATTATCAATGAAAAAAAATTAAAACACCATTTTTTCCAATTTTTTAAATAAAAAAAGAGTACTAAAATTATCGCACGATAGGGGCAATCCCCTGCAACTTAAAAATGTCACGGCGCTCTCCCCCTGAATACATGAAAAAAATCCCTTCCGTGTTTTTACTTTTACGAACAAATTTTAATCTGAAAAATTTTTTAACCACTTGGTGATAGTTATAAATGAACAATTGGCGAGAAAAAAAAATGTTTACTCTAAAGTTAAGAACATTTCAAAGGCTGATCGCTGTATTTACACAATTTTCACGCGCCCAAATGCACATGCTTCTGCTAAAGGTCTACAGCTGTATTACACCATGCAAAAAAAAATTATAAAAAACGCTTGATAGATTTTATATTTAACCGATGACATGGGGAAATAAGTATTTACATTCGATTGATATTTCGAATAATCCTAGACGCTTGTCCCTCGGTCATTCAGACAAATGCAAATGTAAATGCAAAATAAATTGGATTGATAATCTAAATAAGATGAACACGATTGGGGGGGTATCTCTTAGCTTGTGAAATTGAATAAACTATCGTGAAAAAAAAATGGAAGAGTAGAATAACTTTTTACATCGATCAGAGCAAACGTTACGTTTCACTTTCTTTACCGATATTTTCTACTGATCGTAAAATGTTTTAAAGAGAAAATTGTTCTTGATAATTCAGACATAATGAATATTTTCACTGACACGGGTTTTCCGTTTCGCAAAAAAAGTAACCGTTAATAATATTATTTCATATATTTTATAACAATCTTGTAAATATAATTAGTATATCTTCCACACTAAATATTTATTTTCATCCATTCTATTCCCATTAACGTAAATTAGATCATCTGAGTGTAGTATGGGGCGAATACTTGATTTTCTCGAGTCTTGTTAGTACAGTGAGACACCGAGTGACGACGGGTTGTGCACTAAGAAGCGTTAGACAAATTTATTCACGTAAAATGAACCGTTATGAATTATTGAAACCCTAAAAATCATCGGGCGAACCAGGCGAGATACCATTGAGTCACTTTCAACAAATGTACTTGTTTTTCTCTTGAAATTATCCGTTACAATTTGTATTGTACATTGTGATATACTTTTTACAGGGAGATTAATTGCTCTCGGCGAAGAAATTTTTTTGACACATGAAAAATGTAATGGCATTGCAGTTCAATTCGCAATTGAGCAAAAATTATCCAGGGGTGCACTGAGAGAAAAACGACAAAGTTCTCAAACAAGTCTTACTTGTGCCAAGAAAATTGGTTTTTGAAAATTATCAAAAAAGGATTTTTTTTGTGCCGAACATGCAGAGAGTGCGCCGGAATGAAAAATTTTCGTCGCAAAAATAGATTTAGTAGTTAAAAAAAAAATTGCATTCTCTGTACACGCAAGAAATGTCATTTCTAGCACTACTCCTTCGTTATTCGATACTCCCATACGTATTTTGCTCCCGAAAAATCTTTGTTTAATGCGGAACAAGGGATAGTAGTTTTTCGTTTCGGCTGTCTAATAATCATAGACAAGAAATGAAACAATAATAATGATATGATAGCAATCTTGTAATTTAGGGATAAAATATTTGTTGATAAATTTTCCTCTGTATGAGATATTTTCATCCTGAACAGGCACCGTCTGGTGTGAATTATCCGCCTCTTGAGCCAAATATTTCGTTGCTGTCGAAAGCAGAACAATTATTCATGTTTGAGACTTTTAAATTCGAACCAAACAAATTCTTTTTTGGCGATTTTCAACTGGCGATTTTGTCGGCCCAAACAAAACTTGTCTGAAAGCGTGTTTGTTTTTCTCTAAGTGTAGTCGAATCATTCGACAAATAAGTGTTTTTCGTGGGTTTTCAATTTTTTGAAGCTCATTGCTACCAGAAGTAAATGAATAAATTCTAGTGTAATTTTGTATTTTTGTACTTTTGCGATTCATTGAACTTGCTGGATTCTTGCTGAATCGATTCTCGTGTTGTAGACTGTTCGATTATTATCGATGATGGGAATGCTTTGGATTAGACTGCGCGATTTTTCTTTAACTCGTTTCTTATCTCTGGTGAAGTAAGTGCGAAATATTTTTGATTGATTGCGAACTGATTATCTTCATTCGCCGCATGATTCGTTTGTGAATGCCTCTGTAATCGCCGGACGCATCAATTTTTGCCGATATTTTCCTGTGACTTCGATTTGATGATTGAGGATGTTCAGATGGGACGGCTCCTGCGAGGAAATTCATTTCCGAAATATTGCGGAAGTAAACTTGAATGATTGGGACAGTAGAATGCTTTGGTAAAATTCTGTCATTTGCAGAAATGTCAGTGGATCTATATTAAATTCATAAATTCAGTAGCGAAGTGGTTTAAAGTAGCTCTACCCTTACGGTAAATTCAGAGATTATTGAAAACTGCAAAAAAATTGCAGAAAACTCGATTAGATTCGGAATTCTAATTTTTTTCTCAATTTAATTATCGTTTTGGTTTTTCAAAGAAGAAATGTTTAAAAATCAGGATTTAACCTAGTGTCTTATATGAAAGTCAACATTTCCATTGTAATCAAAGATTAAAATCTGAATTTTTTTTCATTAGATGTGAAAAAATCAAGAATTTTTGTGACACCTCATAAAAAATAATCCACCGTTTTGCAAACAAGTTTTATTATTTATTTATAAGAGGGAAATGTTTGAAAAAATATCAATATTTTGCGAAATTTAATTTAGATAATACTGACTGGGTATGAATTTTTTCAAATTTTTTCCATGCAATTTAGTTGAAAAATTTAAAAACTGAAAATATCCAAAAGTATAGGGTAGCCCGGCCGAAGAGTAGAGCTACTGTAAGTCGATTTTGACAACTGGCCAGTTTTCAATTAATATTTCGAAATCTAAGGCAAAATTTTTCTCGTAATCTTTTTAGTAACACTCGATTCGCTCTACAAAAAAAGTCATTACGAAAATTTTGCCATCTCCCTTAAATTCGGAAATATTTCTGGAAAATTCAACTAAAGAATAAATTGAGTTAAACCGTTTGACCACTTCGCTACTGTATTGTCCTCACATTTCTGTTGCGAAGCGGTAAAACGGTTTGAGGGGAGACCTCGGTGAATTTTTAGATTTTTTTATCGGAATCGGTACACTGATAGAATGATTCATTTATTCCAAATGAGATTCGTTAACTATTAACGAATAGTAGAGCTGAATATGACCAAATGAAGATTCGTTAATAGCATGTAAATCATGAGTGATAGGGACAATCCGCCGCAGCTTTCAAATTTCCCCGCGGCCTCCCCTCAAGTCGATTTTGACTACTACCCAGTTTTCAATGAATACCTCGAAATCTAAGGGATATATAAACATTTTTATCATGAGCTTTTTTGTAGCCCTCACTTCGTTCTACAAAAAAGGTAGAACACAGGGTGAGTTTTCGAGGAATATCTCGGAATCTAAGGGAGATAGCGAAATTTTCGTAATGACCTTTTTTATAGAACGAACTGAGGGCTACAAAAAAGGTAGTCACGAAAATGTCGTTATCTCCCTTAGATTCCGAGATATTCCTTGAAAACTCAGTTTTACCGTTTCGCCACTGATTTGTCTCAAACATTTAATTAAAAAAAATCCATTTTGAATATCCTCAAAGTCCATTGGTCGCCCTGAAATCCCAACAATATGGCAAAGTACTGTTGACTCTTCACCTACCCCTCATTTTTCTTTAATAAATAAACTACATTAGCAGTGTGGAAAGTCAGGACGTATAAATATTGAAGGGAAACTAAAAAAAACTGGGAAAAGTATGAAGCGATTTGACAACGCCACATAGTATTTGAAATCTAGATGGTAAGTTATGTAAAAGTAATTTGTATCGAAGCATAGATATAAATTTGAAAATCGTACATAATTCAGCGATGAACTGTTGAGTGAAAGATCCACTGATAATGACAGAGGAATGAGAGAGAATCGAGCGAATTAGAACTTTTACCGCTGATTCAGAAACGTGAGATGATGAAGGAACGAAATTATTTGTATGTAAATGAACGACAAACAATAAAAGTATCGTATACCTATATCTCTGAGTGTTAATCATTCGACCTTGTGTGATTGATGCCAATTAATATTTGTTTACCATTTTTAACACATGCTGCGTTAGAATCTCAAGTCGGTCGGTCGCTGGGTGTGAAACCCCGCCCCAATGAAAAATCGAAGACATTTCTTACGATTTCCACATGTTAATGTGCAGTGATAATCAAGTGGACACTTTTAATTGCGTTTCGGGAATATTAATCTCGAAATTAATGTAATCATTTTTTTTTCTAATTGAGGACGGGTGTACTATCTTTCGAACGTTATCTCGATGTTTTTTCTCATCTTTCGTCATCTGAAATTGTCAATTAAGTCCTGCATCATGCAGAAGTTTTGAAAAATTATGAATGAAGAATAAAAAAAATAGAAAAAATTCAGAATTTTTTCAAAGAGCAGTTTTAATTTATGTTCAGTGAATCAGATATTTGTAATTTTCACATTTTTCAACTCATTCTGAATCTCAATTAAAAACGCTCTCTTTGAAAAAGTTCAGAATTTTTTCAATTTTTTTAATCATTCTATCATAATTTTTGGGAATTTCTATGTGATATACCACTCAATTGACAATTTTGGATTACGGAAGATGAAAAAATCCAGATAACATTCGAAAGATAGTACACCCGGGCCTTAAATGTATTCCTTTGCTCTTCGGATTGATGCTAAAGTGCTCTGCCTCGAGGAAGGAATAATTATTTAATTATTTAATTTATTTCGCAAGGGAAATAAAAAAAAAAAATTAGAAAGTCTGCTTTTGAAGGAAGATTGCTGAAATAATTAAAAAATTGCAATTTTTGAAAATTACGAGCATTTTTTATAAAAAAATTATAAACAATCACTTTCCAGCATAAAAATCATTTGTTCGGAATCTCATTTGTTCGCAATTTCAATTATTTATCTACAATCTATCCCCTCAATGGAAAAAAATTGAAAGTTAAAAAAAGGGGAAAACTGTTTATAAATTATTTATAGAACATACTCGTAATTTTAAAAAACTGCAATTTTCAAGTTATTTCATAAAACCTTTATCGTAAAGTAAACCTTTCAATTTTTTTTCAGATTTTAATAATGTAATAATGTAAATAATTCAGACCTCCAAAATTTAAATAATAAAATCATTCTAAAATGACCGGAAACTTAAGGTCAAATGGGGCTTAAATGAAGACTCTGATGTTCGACTACAAAAGTAGAAGAACATTTCACTTGGAAACCCTTAAATTGACATCTCAAACTCTCAAATTGAGACTTCAAATTGCGACTTTTGAAAATTTCATTCAAAACCTTTCAAATCTTCGACTAAAGTAGGGGAGATTGGGGTAAGACGGACACTTTTGATTTGTTTTAAAATGTCAATGAAGGGTTGAAATGCTGATATAATTTAATTGTTTTTTCATTACAAAGAATAATTCTTTCCCTCTGTGACGAGCCTAAACTGAGCTCAACTGATCAATTAGTTTCTGAGTTATGAATAATTAACAAAAAGTCTGAAGTGTCCGTTTTACCCCACCCTCCCCTATTATTTTTTCGGTGCTGAATCTTCACCGAAAAAATGAAACCCCAAAAAAGTGTCCCCATTACCCCACATTTCGACTGATCCAATCGATAGCAACTGAATTAAAAATTCAGCAATGGGTTCATTTCCAATAATTATTCGATGACTTCTCCTGCAATCCCGCCATGATCCCCGCGCTTTCCCTCCACAATCAGCCCCCGAACGGAATAAAAGATGAAAAAAACCAGGAAAAAACAATTCAAATGCACTAGACAGGGTGTTGGATCCTGCGGGTTGGGCCACAAATGTGTTAGTGGGTGCGCATTGGATCGATACTGGAAGAGAAAAAACCGTTCCACTGTGGGTCTCCCACTAGTCTGCTTTTCTGCGCGGAATACCACGTCTCTCGTATCACATGCACGAGTAGTGGGGCAAAATCCAGCGTGAAAGAGAAAACGACAGAAAACCAGGAGGAGTTTATTATGTACTGCAGTGTGACAAGGAGGGCAAACCGTGACGATGCGCTGACGGCGTGGCGGGTGTTATGTTTTATCACTTTTGATCGAAAAGTCAGACCGCCACGGACAGCCACTGATGACTATTTCTACGCGGTCGAGTGGAAAACACTTGTTATTGTTGAAAATTTGTAAAGCTATATTTCTGGTACCTCCTGCTGCATTTCGAACAGTTGTCGAGCGATCAACTTGAGCTTCTGAATGGATAAAACACGAGATAGAGAATAATCCTGGGGAGTCGTGCTAGATCCCATATGAGCAGTCGTACTGCTGAGATCACTGGTGAGATCTCGAATTCATTATTTATTTTGAAATAGCAACGGTGATTGCATGTGTCATTCCTATGAATAAACTCACGGTTTTCGCTCTTATCTTTCTCATGAATTTGTGATATTCTGTAATTACTTTTTTTAAATAGGTTTTTTTTGAATAGATTGTATCATTACTGGTGATTGTAAGTTGCTGCTGACTTTGCACGTTTGCAGATGAGTTTGACTGAGGCGCAGAGAGCTCGGGGATCGTCGAAAAATCGGGGGAATTCGCGAGCTTTTGCTGCTGAGGAAATGCCCGAGGGAATTGGGGGGGCCACGTGCCAGTGACAGTGCAGGTGGCATCCCTTGGGTTCGCTTGCCCCAAATGCTGCACTCAACGGATATGATGCTCAAAACTCAGAATAATCAGTTTTGTTGAAGGAAGTGGTTCGATGTTTCTACAGAGTTGATTTCATAAGACAATCGAGTGAGTATTGCCTGGGAATGAGGGGTTTGGAAAATGCAGGAGAGAATTATGAAGACTTGGGGTTTAAGGGTGCCAAGTGAATTTGAAAAAAGATTCAAAAAAAATTTTTTCTTTCCCTCCATCATTGGAGAAATATGTATTCATCCATCCGACGAAATTTCAAACCCGCAACCGGAACTAGACATCGAGAAAATAAATGCGGAAAATCCTCTATTTCGCGTGACGAACCTCGAGAAAGCATGGGATCAAATGGGTACGGCGGGTTGAAATATCTCTCTTATTCACCCCGGTACCCCATTGTTTTTTGTCGCCATCACATTGAACACATCATTCCCCATATCTTCAAATTTTTTCAAATTTTTCTTGAGTTCCTAGGGGGTTGAAACGTTCAATTTAATCAAAACTCCATAAGAGGCCGTGTATAAGACTGATTTTGTTTATTTAATTTCTCGATATCTATAAGTTCTAAAATTTTAAAATTGTCACCGATGTTCACCATCTGTAGTACTATTAATTAGAAAAATTATAACTTTGTTGGTGAATGACAATTTTCAGGTCATCGCCAAATTCACTTGGCACCCTTAAGATTTTATAGAAAATTTTATAGGATGGTCCTCTGAGATAAAAAATTGGCTCTGTCGAAGGAGTGTGGGTTCCACGTGAGAATATTTGATGGAGTGGAATGGATTTACTTGAGAGAAATTGACCGATTTGACAGAAGGAAATTTGAAGTAGGGGAAGGTGGGGTAAAATGGACACTTTAGACATTTTTTTATTGTTCGTAACTCAGAAACAAATTTATTAATTGAGCGAAGTTTAGGCTCGTCACAAAGGGAAAGAATTGTTCTTTGTATTGAAAAAAAAATTATTAAATTTCATCAACATTTCATTAAAAAAAGTCAAAAGTGTCCGTTTTACCCCAACCTCCCCTAGCTCTACCCTTCGGCCGGACTACGCTGTACTTTTGGATATTTTCAGTTTTTAAATTTTTCAACTAAATTGCATGGAGAAAATTTGAAAAAATTCATACCCAGTCAGTATTATCTAAATTAAATTTCGCAAAATATTGATATTTTTTCAAACATCTCCCTCTTATAAATAAATAATAAAACTTGTTTGCAAAATGGTGGATTATTTTTTATGAGGTGTCAAAAAAATTCTTGCTTTTTTCACATCTAATGAAAAAAAATTAAGATTTTAATCTTTGATTACAATGGAAATGTTGATTTCCACATAAGACACTGGGTTAAATCCTGATTTTTAAACATTTCTTCTTTGAAAAACCGAAACGATAATTAAATGGAGAAAAAAATTAGAATTCCGAATCTAATCGAGTGTTCTGCAATTTTTTTGCAGTTTTCAATAATCTTTGAATTTACCGTAAGGGTAGAGCTACTTTCATATCTTTCACGAAATAGTATATTTCATCACGCTGTGACGAAAAGTGAACTTTTCGGCACGCTCCGCGTGCCTAAAAGTCCAATTTCCGCCACATTGTGATGAAAAATATTGTTCGTAACTCGTGAAAAAATGTTTTTTAGCTCGTGGAATTATATCACTCGCCTTCGGCTCGTGATATAAACCTCCCACTCTCCAAAAAACACTTTTTTGCACTCGTTACGAAATATACTATTTCGTTCTGAGTGCGGAAAAGAGTTTTTTGGCTCGTGGGATTATATCACTCGCCTCTGGCTCGTGCTATAGACCTCCCACGAGCCAAAAAACACTTTTCCCACGATTTCTCGTCTGAGAATTGGTATTACATACTTCCCAAACTCGAAAACTTGAAAACTATAGAAAAATATTGTTCCTGGACTGTTGCGATGGGGTTTTTTTACTCGTGTGGTTGACCAGTCCTCGCCTACGGCTCGGAGGCCAACGCCACACGAGTAAAAAACCCCATCGCAACAGGCCGGAAATATACTATTTTATCATAATGTGTGGAAAAGGGACGTTTTAGGCACGCGAAGTGTAACGAATGCAAAAAAGTGTTTTTTGGCAAGTGGGAGGTTTATATCACGAGCCTTCGGCTCGTGATATAATCCCACGAGCTAAAAAACATTTTTTCACGAGTTACGAACAATATTTTTCATCACAATGTGACGGAAATTGGACTGTTAGGCACGCGGAGCGTGCCGAAAAGTTCACTTTTCGCACAGCGTGATGAAAATTAAATTTCGGTCGTGATCATCGGAAATGTTGCTGGAGGAATTCGAACTGTTGACAGGATAAATATAATCTATTGTACGACTATTTTTTTTAAACCATGTTTTTATGCACAACTACAACACGATATTCACATTATTTATAGTTATTTACAAAAAAACAGGTATATAAAAAAACATGACACAAAACCATGGTCACTCAGTGACTCTCGGGTTTAATCATTACAGTGTGGTTATTTCGATGATTTTATATGAAAAGAAAATTTTTTTTTCAATTTTTGTTTTTGCTCCATTCAGTAGCATTTAGTATCTTTTTTTAGTGCGCTTAAGGGGAGGCTACTATGAGTTTTAAAAGTCGTGGGTTATTGAGTGAGACTTTTCATACGTTGAAGATCGATTATATCGATCTGAAAACGAATAATTAGTACAAAAAAAAATTTTTTTTATTGTTCGTTTGCCCGAAAACGCTTAAAATGGTAAAAACAGTCCAGGGCCTCCAATTTTTGAGCTACAAAAGATTTTGTTTTCAAAATTTTCGGAAAAATGTGTGGAACAACAATTACGAGCCAGATTTTTTGGAATTCGACTCCTACACAGCTGATTTTGGTTTTTTTCATATAAAAAAATTACTCGTAATTTTCAAAAAAATATTCGTAATTCTCAAAAATTGCAATTTTTTAATTATTTCATAAGTCTTTTTCTCAAAGTCAATTGTACAATTTCTTTCAGACTTTAAAACTGTTTTCTAACGTTTCAATATCGAGATTCAAATTCAGACCTGCAAACTTTAACTAATAAAATCCTAGTAAAATATCTGAAAACTAGGGTTCAAATGGGGCTGAAATGAAAGCTCTGGTTCGACTGCAAAAGTAGAGAATCATCTCACCGAAGAAAAAACTATCCAAAGCACTTTTTTTATGACATTCTTAATCATAAAAAAATTCTGCAAACATTCTAAGAGTTTCAGTCGACGCGAAGCCTCAAAAGACTGCGCCAATGACCGAAATTAAAATTTCCACAAACTATAAACCCCTTTGCAATAAACCATATTTTTTGCAGATTGAAATACCGCGGGAGGTGATTCGCCTCCCCCAACCGTCAGTCCGGGTGTTGCCGGAAGCCGAGAGCCGGCACCTCAGCACAGATTCCTCCACTGCGCCAGGGTGTCCGAAGAGTTTATAAATAGTCGCCTTCTCCTAGGTGGTACATGCAAAACGAACAAGTAAAAATACAGTCAGGTGGTAGGGGTAAAAAAGCGAGAAGAGGAGAAGTTAGCCATCAGGCTGTGGTATTAAAATAGAAAAGAATGTTTTTGGAATCCAATTGGACTTGGTTGGCAGAACGATGGGGCAATATGGCCGACTTGGCCGAGCGGGTTGACGATCTGATATGCAGTTTTGATTCGTCTGGTGATACAACAATGGATACATTATCAATGCTAATATTCGGTTGGATGCTGTTTGGTCTCATTGTACTGTGCGTTGGTAAATACATTTACAATCGTTTTGTATTGAATGAAAAAATTGCAACAAGTGGAGCAAGTGGTAGTGTAGCTAGTGCACCCAATGCATCGAGCAAGGATCATGGGATACATGGAATTGGTGAGAGTGTCGTGTCGGCTGGTAGTATTGCCAGTAAATTACTCACTCAGGATAAGCCGATTAAAGTGGCAATGGCCAAATCAGCAACAGCCAGTGCTGCTGCCAGTCATGTTGCAAGTGCTGGTGTTATTGGAGCTAATGCAGGACATGGGGGTGGCGGTGGTGGTGGTGGATATGTGCCGCCAACACCACCGATGAGAAAGAGATTGACGAGAAAACCATCGGGCTCGCTGTTGAGCCCAGCAAGGAGCTCGAGAGCACTACATTTGCCGGCAGCCACTGGCGCTGATACTGAAGCTGTTCGCTGGGTTAATGAGCTCGTTGTTTGGCTGCACTCGGATTTGGTCATACTTAATGAGCTGCTCGCCTCTTGGGTACTCTCACTCAATCATTTTGTGGCGAGCTCGGTCGATGAGGTAATGATGGTTATTGTTTCGTCTCTCTGCATTGTAAAAATTCAAATTCACTTTTGGTGATGAGAATTTGGTACTCGAAGTTAAGACACGAAAGTTAAGGGTCACAAGGGTCAACGTAAGGGTCATGAGGGTCGGAATAACGGTCACGGTCAGATTAAGGCTCATGAGGGTTAGAATAATGGCCCAAATAAGGGTCACAAGGGTCAGAGTAAGGGTTTGAATGAGGCACATGGGGGTCAAAAACCTAGAATCAGACACTAAAGGTCACGAGGATGGTCATGACTGATGGGTCATGCCTAAGGGTCATGAGGGTCATTTTGGTCAATAACTCAAAACTACTTGTTATGTTTTTTCTGGGAATTTTTTTTATAAATTTTCATAAAAAAAGAACTAAAATGACAGATAAAAATCTGAAATTTCGGCTCATAATTGGTATTATTTGGGAGCACATCTGGGCAAAATTTCAGCTCAATCGGTCCAGTAGTTTTTGAGATACAGCGATTCCGAAAAATTTTTCTTTTCTCAATATCTCGAAAACTACCGGATCAAATGGACTTTTTTGGCGTCAAAATATTCCTTATCATATTATCTATCGAATCAGACCATAATGTGCCTAGCTAACTATTGCGAGTCGCCCAGTAATTGACATTTTTCATTTTTGTGACAACATTGATGTGAACACTTTAACGCTTAAAAAAATTGAGATAGGAAGTTGAAATTTGGTAGGATTCTAGCTCTTACTATATCACAGGCTGATTCCACATGGGCGATATCGAATGAGTAGTTTTAAAGATATTCAATTTTTTGTATAAAACTGTATGGTTCAATATCTCAAAAACTATTCATCCGATTTCAATTTTTTTTTAAAAATATTACTCTTGCTTTCTTTCAATTTCATTTGTTATCTGTATGAATACAGAATTCGATGAATTAGTCAACGGAGTATCAATCAATTCGTACATTTGACAGATTTATTTATAGAACATTACGCTTTGGTTTGAGAGACCATGTCTACGAACCGTAACAGTTAAATGTTACATGCATTATGCATGATGTTTTTCGATCGCGAGATGCCAGACGTATCTTATGGGAATTAATCAGTTCTTGTTTTTTTCATTACTAAATTTCAGTGGTTATCTGCATGAATATATATCTTCAATTTTTTTGAAACGTTTTGAATGATTTTGAAACTTCCGCTGAGTTTTCGAGGAATATCTCCGAATCTGAGGGAGATAACGAAATTTTCATAAGGACCTTTTTTATAGCCCTGAATTCAGCCCATAAAAAAGGTCATGACAAGAACTTCTCTAGCTCCCTTAGATTCCGAGATTTTTACTGAAAAATGGTCAATAGTCAAAATCGACTTGAACCATTTTACAGAATATTACGCTTCGGCTTGAGAGGCGATGTCTACGAACTATAACAGTTAAATGTTACTGAATTTCAGTGGTTATTTGGGTGAATATATGTCAGTCAATAATGGAGAAACGTGTGGTGTGGGGCTGAACGTTTTTAATGTTTTTGAAGTTCGACTTGGCTTTTAGCTGAGTTTTCGAGGAATATCTCCGAATCTAAGGGAGATAATGAAATTTTCATAATGACCTTTCTTGTAGAGTTAATTGAGGACCGCAAAAAAGGTCATGAAAGAAATTTTGCTATCTCCCTTAGATTCGGAGATTTTTACTGAAAACTGTTCAATAGTCAAAATCGACTTGAACCGTTCTGCCGCTTCGCTACTGGATTGGTTTTTTTATTTACGTTTACAAAATTGATGTAGCTGCGATGAAGCCAACGCCAAGCACTTAACCCACTTTTCAAAATGAGATTTTGTTCAATCTCGTGGGTTGAATCACAATAAAATCGATGGAATGGCCTTGATTTTTCATTTTGACGTTTTTTTAATCAAGCGTTAAGGAGAAAATTTCGTGTGGGTCTGATACATTCGGAGAAATCAGAGTTTGAGCTTGAGATATTTATTACTGTTTGAATAATTCAATTATAATGAAGTCAGCAGAGGAGAAATAAATATAAGCATTAGCTCACTCGAATTATCAACGCAAATGGATATGAGAGCCATGAGAAGTATTCAGTCGTTCGAGTTTTTTTCCGTTTAATTGTTGACTTTATTGTGGTCTATCTCATTTCCTTCTCTCGAGTTTTTGAGGTCAATCCCGTTACGTCATATGATATGAGAGAGTGGGGGAAAGATATTTCGTCATCAGCTGTCAACGGCCTTGCGGTGTGTGCGCGTGGGTGACGTCATACACCGAAAATAACGCTTGACTACACGAGGAGAAAACCGGTTTTCTTCGCTATCGAAATTTTATCGTTTTCGTTTTCCATTTAAGTTTGCACGATTCAGTGAATTTTTCTTTTATTGAAATTTTTGGATATCCCGTCATGGGGAGAACAAATAATAGAAAAACCTAGAATTCGGTAGACAATTTTGTTGGATTTCTATTGAACTTTCTATTAGTTTTTGGCTGATTCCATTTAAAATTTTCAATGGAAAAAATTCTAGAGAAAAAGTCAAAAGAATTCCATTTTTCTAGACAACTTATTTTATTGAGATACTTTCTATAGAATTTTTTCGGCTCAAATTTTCCAAGTTTTTTGTTTCTTCGCTATCGAAATTTTATCGTTTTCTTTTTTGCTTCAAGTTTTCACGATTCAGTGAATTTTTTTTTCATTGAAATTTTTGGATATCCTATGACGGGAAAAAAAATAATAGAAAAACCTAGAATTCGGTAGACAATTCTGTTGGATTTCTATTGAATTTTTTATTAGTTTTTGGCTGATTCTATTGAAATTTCAATGGAAAATATTCTATAGAAAACGTCAAAGAATTTGATTTTTCCATTCAATTTATTTTATTGAGATACTTTCTATAGAATTTCTTCGGCTCAAATTTTCCAAGTTTTTTGTTTCTTCGCTATCGAAATTTTATCGTTTTCTTTTTTGATTCAAGTTTTCACGATTCAGTGAATTTTTTTTTCATTGAAATTGTTGGATATCCTATGACGGGAAAAAAAATAATAGAAAAACCTAGAATTCGGTAGACAATTCTGTTGGATTTCTATTGAATTTTTTATTAGTTTTTGGCTGATTCTATTGAAATTTCAATGGAAAATATTCTATAGAAAACGTCAAAGAATTTGATTTTTCCATTCAATTTATTTTATTGAGATACTTTCTATAGAATTTCTTCGGCTCAAATTTTCCAAGTTTTTTGTTTCTTCGCTATCGAAATTTTATCGTTTTCTTTTTTGATTCAAGTTTTCACGATTCAGTGAATTTTTTTTTCATTGAAATTGTTGGATATCCTATGACGGGAAAAAAAATAATAGAAAAACCTAGAATTCGGTAGACAATTCTGTTGGATTTCTATTGAATTTTTTATTAGTTTTTGGCTGATTCTATTGAAATTTCAATGGAAAATATTCTATAGAAAACGTCAAAGAATTTGATTTTTCCATTCAATTTATTTTATTGAGATACTTTCTATAGAATTTCCTCGGCTCAAATTTTCCAAGTTTTTTGTTTGATTTTGTTGATGACAAGAAAAGATATAAGTGAGTCTCGTATGCTCGGGCTCAATCATTACATGAGTACATGATTTATTTTCAATAATTCCAGCATGGAGTGGGCGTGGAATTTGTACGGGTACTTCCGGAGACACAATCGCCTTCTTTATCGAATATCTTCTGTGAATGCGATTCGAAAAATGACGTTGTGAGTATGTTTAGTAGTATTTTTTCAGTGTTTTTATGGTACTGCTACGAGTTTCCGGAGTAATAAAACGATTTCTCCAGTGACTCCAGAAACTTTCCAGTTGGTCATACATTTAAAATACTTTTAAATACTTTTATACTTTATACTAAAAAAAAACCTTACTTGGAGATTTCAAAGATTTTAAATTGAGGCTTTTGGAAGGCTCGGCTGAAGAGTTTCGAAAGGATCACCGAGGGATTTTTACGTCTCAATTTGAGACTTGAAAATCTTTATTTAGTCGTTCCGACAGTTTCAAGTTGAGACTTGTGGAAGTTCCGATTTGAGACTTGAAAATCTTAATTTTAACCTTCAGAAGGTCTTCAATTAAGACTTAAATCTTCATATGAAACTTTCGGAGGGTTTAAATTTAAATTTTCAAGTCTCAAAGTGAAATTTTCAAGTTTCAATTGTCAGATTGGGACTTTCGAAGATTCAAGATTCAAGATTCAACAAGATTTATTAACATGGATAGATATTTACAAACAAGACAAGGCAACAATATGGTACAAGTTTATACATAGAAGATTAATTGGTGTAGTATCAGCCCGGAGGCTACAACATATATATAATATGAGGGGTGAGAAATGGGTTAACAATATGAGGGATGGGGATAGGCAGGAGATGCTGGATAGGGAAAATTTTTTATATTAAAAAACCCTCTTACAAAACCCTATTACTTGGAACTTTCGAAAGTTTCAACTTGAGACAAAGTAGTTAAGCCTCTACGAAGGCTAAAATTAAGACTTTCAAGTCTCAAAGTAAAATTTTCAAGTTTTAAATTGAAATTTTCACGTCCTAAATTGAGACTTTCGAATGTCTAAAGTTGAGCCGTTAAAAAGTCCCAATTTGACATTTGAAAATCTCAATTTTAGTCTTTTGTAGACCTTAACTTGAAATTTTCAAGCATCAAAGTGAAAGTTTCAAGTCTCAAATTGAGATTTTCAAGTCTTAAATTGAGATTTTAACATGTCTAATTGGGACTTTCGAAAGTTTCAATTTGAGACACAGAAAACAAGCCTTTGAAAGGCTTAAATCAAGACTTTCAAGTCCCAAAGTGAAATTTTCAAATCTCGAATTGAAATTTGTTTTCTTTTTGTGTCCATTTCAATGAACATTTGAAAGAAAAAATATTTTCACCGAATGCTGCCGTTAAGAAATTTAACATTGAAACAACGTTCGCCTAAACCAATTAAATATTCTCCACAGACGATAACATGCGATTGCGAGGCAACTCCGGCACTGCAACTGAAGGCATTCCGTCAAAAAGGCGATAAAGTTGAGGTCAGCCATTATCGTGCTAATGTAAATCGCTTTCGAGCTCGTTTAAACGTTGTTTGTATCACCGAGAAACTCTTGATGGACTTGAAGTGCGATGGCTGGCCAGAGGTAACTCCCAGCACCCATTCGAATCTCAATGATCGAATTTAGTTCAATCAGCTGCATCAATTGATTCCAATGAAAGATCATTCTGATTAATTCGATATGACTCGATTAAAGGTGAAGGTCTCACTGGCCCAAGTGGGAACAATAAAGAAGGACCTGGACGAGAGCCAGCTTCAGGAGGTAGTGACTGAGATTGTAGTTGGTGCACTGAGAGGCACCAATGTCCATCTCAATTTGTCGAAATATCCTACTTGTCCGAGACTCTGGCGGGATCCACCACCACACACCGGCTATTCAATGCCGTTGCACTATGATAGCATGGTAATGATGAATGAATGAATGAGTGAATGCAGACGTATGAAAAAATTTAATAGAAGCTTAGCGAATTCGCTGGACAATTCTATTGGATTTCTATTGAACTTTCTATTAGTTTTTGGCCGATTCTACTGAAACATTCAATGGAAAATATTATATAGAAAAAATACAAATAGTAGTTCTGCTGTAGTTATTCTATTGAAATATTATCAGTGGAATTTCCTCGGCTGAAATTTTACGTGTTTTTTTGTTTGATTTTCTCGATGAAAAGAAAAGAAGAGAATAGAATAACTGTTGGAAAAAATTGGAATCTCATGGATAGTTGACTAGTACTTTTCGAGAAAGTGAAATTGAATTTTAATTAGGAATAATAAAAATAATTAGTTTAGATTTCACTAAAAATTCTGTGAAATTACAAATTTCTGAGCAGCAGAGACATGAGAATGCCCCGACTTACTTGAATTTTAAAAAAACGAGAATATTCAGTAGCCAATTACGCAGAACTTTTAATTAATTGAAAATTCAAGAATACATTTACCTGAATTTATCTCACAAAATTTAGTAGAAAAATGTAGCAGACAATTCGATAGACAATTTTATTTCTATTGAACTTTCTATAGAATTTCATCGGCTTAACCCTAGATTAATATTTCACTATTCAACTATAGATTTAGATTTCACTAAAAATTCAATAAAATTTTTGAGCAGTAGAAACGCAAGAATTCTTCAACTTACTTAAATTTTCAATAAAAATATGAATATTCAGTACCAAATTACGCAAAACTTTCAATCAATTGAAAATTCAAGATCATATTTTATCGGCTTAACCCTAGATTGGTTATCCTATGAGGGAAACCCCGCCGCGCGTCGTTTTTCTTTAATTACAATTGACTGGCTAACCGGAAAAATTCAAAAAAAACTTGACTTTGTCAATTGAAGTGTCTAAAAAATTATAGTAGTTTTTAGAACAACCTATTTCCCTCAATTCCAGAAAATTTACAGATTTACAGAAAACAAATTATTTCGGACAGATGAATTATTTCTCTCCATGTTAAATGAAATACCCGATGACGCCACGTTGCCGGAAACTCGCTAAACGCGTTCGGGCAATTTAGAGTGAATTCGGCAACGCTGAAGCCTAAATAACACGGCGGGGAATCCCCGCAGAAGTGACCAATCGCAAGGCCGCGTTTGGTGTCCAGACTCGGTTAAATTTCTCAATTTTTTTTCATTCTCTATTTCTTTCTTTTTTCATCAAGAAAATCGAGCAAAAAAATTTTCGCCGAGGAAATTCTATAGAAAATATTTCAGTAGAATACGTGGCATAGAAAAATCGAATTCCACACTCGAATTCTGACTCATTCTATAGAATATTTTCTATTGAACAATTTAACAGAGTCGGCCAAAAATTAATAGAAAATTCAATAGAAATCCAATAGAATAGTCCAGCGAATTCGCTAAGTTTTCCTCTTAAATTTTGTCGTGCGTGAATGTCTGTGTAAATTCTGTGGGTAACCTCCATTGTCATGATGATTGTGTTTCAAGGGTCGTCCAGAGTCAACGGCACCGCAGTACGTATCTGGAGACAGACGTTTACTGGTTAAAGTTGTCCGAGCAAATGATCTTGGAGGGAAGGAGGGATGCGCCCAGCCGTATTGTGTTGTTGAGTTGGATGAACCACCGCAGAAGCACCAGACGTCGATTAAAAAAGATACAATGAGCCCCGTTTGGGACGAAGCCTTCCTGTTGTATGCAATCATTGAAATTATCACATCAATTCCATTTGAAATTTCAATTTTTCACTCAATTTTCTGCATGATATCATCATGACTGCGATAGTGATTCATAATGCTCTACAGAATTGTTTCCAAGGGTACATTAATGAGCATGATAATATGATTTTAGCGATGTAAGTCACAATACGTCGGAAGTACTATTGGAGATCTATGATAACTTGAACAAAAGTCAACGATTCTTGGGGCTGGGAATTGTCGGGGTGGAGGAGCTACTCGTCAATCCGAGCCAGAGACAGATTATCCCTCTTCAAGCGAGACCGTATGAGGCTGATGAAGTCACTGGAACTCTGACAGTTGAAGTAAAGTGAATTTTATTAGGAATATTTAAGGATATCCAAGTACTTTGGCTATTTGTTCCCTAGTGAAATGATTTTCTACTTTTGTTGTTCAAATATCAGCCCTTTCATTTGAGCCCACGTTGTCAAACAAGTCTTGTTGGGGCCAACAAAATCACTAGTTGAAAATTGCCAAAAAAGAATTTGTTTGGTTCAAATTTGAAAGTCTCAAACATGAATAATTGTTTTGCTTTCGACAGCAACGAAATATTTGGCTCAAGAGGCGGATAATTCACACCAGATGGTGCCTTTTCAGGATGAAAATATCTCATGTAGGGGAAAATTTATCAACAAACATTTTATCCATAAGTTACAAGATTGCTACCATATCATTATTATTGTTTTATTTAAGGGTTTATTTGTTGTCTGTGATTATTGGACAGCCGAAACGAAAAACTACTATCTCTTGTTTCGCATAAAACAAAGATTTTTCAGGAGCAAAATACGTATGGGAGTATCGAATAACGAAGGAGTAGTGCTAGAAATGACATTTCTTGCGTGTACAGAGAATGCAATTTTTTTTTAACTACTAAATCTATTTTTGCGACAAAAATTTTTCATTCCGGCGCCCTCTCTGCATGTTTGACACAAAATAATCCTTTTATGATAATTTTCAAAAAACTATTTTCTTGGCACAAGTAAGACTTGTTTGAGAACTTTGTCGTTTTTCTCTCAGTGTATAGTGTGGTCTGTATAAAACAGTGAAAGATACTTGGATATCCTCAACAATTATAATGAATCTCCAGTAGTTAGTTTCATGATTCATTGTTGTCTTATATCTTCTAGTTTCTTTTTATTGAAGGGGCCGAGGTGCCTCAGATTGGTTCGAAGCCCTTCAAGCTCAAGGAAGCTATAAAACCAGTATCGCCTACCCGCACATACAGCCCAACCAGCCAACTCAGCAATAATAGTCTTAATTATAACAATGGTAACAGTACACTTATCTTGTACGACTCTACTGCTCAATCGACCGGGGGTAATTACCGATTATATTATCTGGAGAAAAAAAAGCATCTGCACCTGAGTGAAATCCACTTTCAATATAAAACGAATAAACCCTTTGGTTTCTAGTTTTTCCTTTTTATTCATTTTTGAATGTTGGTAGATCAGAATTTTTATATGAGATAGACATTTCTACTAACTTTTCTTTCCCAAATTATTATTGCGGAATTGTCTTTGGCCTCGGGAACACTCTACAGTGCAAGGTTAATAAACTTTTGGATGAAATTCGTGGGATTCAAAGTTTTGCTTGACCCTTCGCCCCACCCTCTACCTCTTGTCCTCGAATTAGAGTTCAGTAGTGGAGAGGTGAGATTTGAGGTCAATTTTGTGAGTCTTCACCCAAAAAAATTATATCTTATTTTAAGATTTCAAAAGTCTTAAAATGCGATTTTCCAAAGTAGCAATTTGAATCGATTTTTCTATATAACTCATTCTTTTCATATTTTTCTATAGAATTTGCGTGACTCAAATTTTCAAGTTTTTTTCATTCTATTCTCATCCAGAAAATCAAACAAAAAAACTTGGGAAATTTGAGCCGAGGAAATTCTCTATAGAAAATATCTCAACAGAATAAGTTATATAGAAAAATTGAATTCTATTGACGTTTTCGACTGAATATTTTCTATTGAACATTTCAATAGAATCGGCCAAAAACTAACAGAACAGTTCAATGGAAATTCAATAGAATTTTCTAACGAATTCGATAGGTTTTTCTATTAAATTTTTTCGTCCGTGAACAGCCCCCTACAATTTTAATTTTATTCAGAAAGCAAAATGTTATTGAAACCAATAGTTTCAACTAGCTTCCACTCGTCAAACCATCACAAATCATTTCATAATCCTAGGGAATATCGATCGACAAATTGAATTCCCTGATTGACAACGAGAACTAATTATAATTACTCTTAGACTTGAAAGTCTAATTATATATCACCTCTTTGCTACTGAGTTATAGTATTTGGGTAGTATGATAGAACTCAGCATGAGATATTGAGAATGAATAGTCTCCCTTAAATAGTCGAAAATCGTGTGATTACCCATCGCATTTTTAATTCTTATAATCAATATTTTTTTTTCATCAAGTTGAAGTTTACGGTCCGGGCGTTACGCTTTCTCATTTATATTAGAATTGGCTTTTCTTTCAGACTATCTGACAAACGGCACAACCGTGGACTCTCCGTACAGAACTGGACAATCGAATGGTAATAAGGGGACTCTGATCGTGCACAGTCAACAGAGGGTAAGCATCTGTAATACTTGAATTCAATTCTGTGAAAAAAAAAATGATGAGTTTTTTCTATGATCCTCATAAGAATTTTGTCCTAACGAGTTATGCCTGATGAATTCTTCTAATAAAGTGTGTTGTTTGGCTTCCTCTGTTTTATAGCAACCCGAGCGTCAAGTCGTCAAGGTGACTCTACTAACAATAATGCATTCCTTCCCTCATTCCTCTTTAAATTATCGAGTCCTCAGTGTAGAATTATTTATCAATAGCAGTTTTCTCCTCGCGATCCCGCGGTATTGCGTTAAAGTTTTGATTTGTTAATTATTCCTGACTCCTTCTAGTAGTCTTCTAGTAGTTTTCCAAATTAGCGAATTATAAAGGCTCTCTTTTCCTCCATTTTCGCATGACCTCTCTTCTTTCCTAGGGCGAAGGATAACTCGAATGAAAGTAGTTTCAACTTTTGCGTTGTTGTTGTTTTTGTGAGATTTCCAGTGCTTAATTTACCATGATAATTAATAAGAATAGAGCGATAGAGATTCTTGGGTTTTTGCACGTGAAAGATAACTCTGGTCTGCCTCCCACTATCAACAGGTTACACTATCAGAGGATGGCAGTTGGCAAGAACTTTCCCCGGAGGTAATGAATATCGGGTATTTTATTGAATATGGGCATGGAATGTGATTATGAGCATTTCAAATTTTTAAATCAGTAGCGAAGTGGTGAAACGGTTCAAGTCGAATTGTCTTCCAGTTGAGTTTTTGAGGAATATTTCCAAATCTAAGGGAGATAGCGAAATTTTCGTAATTATATTTGTTGTAGCTCTCAATCGGCTCTACAGAAAAGATTGTAACACAAATTTTGCTATCTCCCTTAGATTCCGAGATATTCATTAAAAACTGGTCAATAGTCAAAATTGACCACTTCGCTACGGAAATGTTGCTTTGAGCGGATTCATGCCAAATCAGCAGGGCAAAAGACGATGCTGGGGATTTCCGGCTCATTTTTTTCTGAAAAGATGACTATTAGAGAAAAATTTTGAAAACAAAATTGAAAAATATTAATAATTGAAGGAGTTATGATTTTTTTTTTAATTTCCAGTTCTTTCAATAACTTTGTTTTGTTCCAAGTTGGGCCCCAAATCTGAGCGGGGTTTCAAACTATTGAAACGCGCTTTGGCCCACGCAAAGAACATGAAAAAACCTTCAAAATGAGACGTCATGCACTGAGAGAAAAATCTGTATAATATGACAAAACTAATTTCTTGAGTGAAGTTCGCATGAATATTCGATAAATTCATGGTAGGTTTCAGACAAGAAATCGATGCTCGTCGGGCTAAAGAAGGATGATACTGAATAGAAAATCATATTTTTTTCTGGAAATTAGATAATATTCATGAAGAGACAAAGTAAATTTGAGAGAAGGAAAAGATGCTATTGCTTCTCTTCGAACTCATTGCGATTGAGAGCAAGTGACGGTTATATTTTAGAAATATCTGAAGGTCCTCCCCTGTATAAATTCTGTATTCATTCAATATGAAAGTCTCTGATCCAGAATTCACTGAATCGAAGCTTTTAGTATTTTTAGCAATTTTCTCATCTTTTGACACGAAATAAACGATTTCTTGAGGCAAGAAATTCTCGCTTTATCGCCAGGTGTGCGTATTCAATTCATGAACATTTCATAGGATTCTCACGATTCTTAAGAGATGAGATATTTGACGCAAGAAATTAGTTTTGTGATTTTATGTCGATATTTCCTTAGTGTATGACAATTTCTGGAAAAAATTTCAGATGAAAAAAATTAATTCATTCAAAGAAACTAGATATTTTCGAAAAATCACAATTCCTTCAATTATCAATATTTTTCAATTTTTTTTTTTCAAAATTTATGTTCAATATTTTTTCAGAAAAAAATTGAGATAAAAATCCTCACCACCGATTTTTCTGGCTTTCAACACAATGATCTCATGTAGGTCGATTCATTTTGTTCCTTTCGAAAATATCCAATTTTTAATTAATAAAAATTTGCGATGAATAATTTAATGAGTTCGGGGGACACAAGTGATTTCATTCAAAAGAAATTGAAATTTCGACGATCACATTCCATGCCGATACTGATTGCAATATTCTAAATAATGCTTCTGTTTTTTTGCAATAATTGAAATCATATATTCATCACTGCGTGAATACCAATAGTAATAATTACGATTTTAGCACGCCAACCGGGATAACAGCGCTACATCAGGTCCGGAAAGCACGCCAAGGTCATCGAATTCGGAAGGAACCAGAGGTGAGTCTTCACAGTTTAGTTTTCATCAAAAGTTTCCGAAAACTTTGGATTACAATCATTTATGAAACTCCAACAGAACGGGGACGAACGCGAAGAAAACGACGTGACTTTTTCGGAACAATCAAAAAGCGCCTGAGTAGGTCGAAGACTAGAAGTAGATCGGCAGGACGAGAAGGTGATATTAATCACGAAGATGCCCACTCAAGATCGATATCCGCTGACAGAGCACGGGATCCAGGTTCAGGTGATTTCAAGCTTCTTTTATAGCGAAATTGCAGGATTTTTTTTTAATTTTCCAATTTCATTTAATTTTTAATATTTAAGTTTCGATCCCCAATGATTATTTTTTCATAGCGATTTACGCATATAATTCTTTATCTTCATGTATTTATTTATTCATTAAGAGAGGAGTTACAAGTCGCCCTCATCGTATCTAGATTTTAGAAAAAATTGCACTTTTTTTTCAACTAACGATTTTTTTATTGAAAGAAAGAAAGGAGTATCATTTATTATTGCTATTATTCATTAATTATTATTCATTAATTCATCCTTTTAATTTAAGTGATATATACTTTTTGTATAAATAATGAAAAAAAAATGTTTTATTTGATATATAACAAAAAAATAATACCTTATTTTAAGATTTTCAAAAGTCTCAATTTGAGATCATAAGTCTCAAAATAGAGCTTCACTGAGGAAAAAATTATTTTTGACAAATATTCATTTATTTGAGACAAATATTTATTTTTTCAAAATCGTATTTCTCGAATCGAATCACTCTCAGGCGAGCCTAATTAAGTTTCAATTATGACAATCATATGGCTCTAGAGCATGACTATGTTGCACATGACCTTGGATGAACTCCTCCAACGATTATTCATTTTTTCTAAATTTCTTATTTTCTACAGGGAAGAATTTCGATTAATTTTTTAATGTTAGTAATTATTAAGAGATTTCACTCAGTCATAACTAACACGATCCTCTTCTAGAGTAATATAATTGTCAATATTGAAACCTAACTGGGCTCATCTGGGAATGACTCGATGGAAAAATACGGTATTGAAAAAATGAATACTTCCCTCAAATAAATGGGTATTTGGCAAAAATAATTTTTTTCTCAGAGTTGTTTTTCTTTGGATGCGTTATTCTTCTCTCGGAGTCGACATTCACTCAGAATTTTTTACTGTGTATGTATTATTCTTCCAGTATCTTTGAATGTGCCAGGTAAAGAAGAGCAATCAAGAAGATCAAGTCTGAGTGAAGCCTCGGCCATCAGCGGCACGTCAACGAGAACGTACATCAACGAGGCGTCGACATTAGTCCTAGAAACATTAGAAAATGGGATTAAAAAGTGAGTCGCCTATGCCACTAGCATTATAACCATCATAAATTTATTGGGTACTCATCGATTGTTTATTTCTAGGCACTACCTTGTACCCCTCTCGCTCGCCCAGAAGAGCAAGTGGAGGAAAAAGGGCACAAAATTGCATATATTCAATGATCATACCTTCATCGCGAAACACATGTCTGGGTAATACTCACACTTCAACTTAAGATATGCACTGGATTGCCCATCAAAATGACACACGAAAATGTTAACACTAAAAAATTCAACACAACTATCAACACAGTCTTCGAAATCAACAAATATTTACTTTTGGCATGAGAATTTATTTAATGAAACATGAAAAAATAGGAACGACAATACAGTGAATTTCAGTAATAAATGAGAACATCTACTCAGTAAATCGGCAAATTTAATAGATTGATATCAAATTACAATGAAGCTAATCACAACAAAATGACATCTAACTACAGAACACTCCACAGTTTCTTTGAAATCTACTCCCAATACTTATGATCACAAAAAATATATCTATTAAATTGTATTAAATTTATATTCAATTACTTTTACAATTGCAATTACAATTGCAATTACTAGACGATCCAGGTAGTTGAACACTTTAAGTCATCCTGTTAATAATCCCTCACTTATTATCACAAATACGGATTATTGAGGTGATACAAAACTTCAAATGACCACACACACAACTATGTTAACACAACATGTTAAATTTGTATATGTTAAATTGTTAAGGGTTGAAAAAACATGTGTGTTGAAATTTACGTGTGTTATTCTGACCGGTAACCATACACTGAGAGAAAAACGACAAAGTTCTCAAACAAGTCTTGCTTGTGTCAGAAAATATTTTTTTGAAAATTATCAAAAACTGATTTTTTTGTGTCAAATATGCAGAGAGTGCGCTGGAATGAAAAATTTTTGCCGCAAAAATATATTTAGTAGTTAAAAAAAAATTGCATTCTCTGAACACGCAAGAAATGTCATTTCTAGCACTACTCTTTTGTTATTCGATACTCCCATACGTATTTTGCTCCCGAAAAATCTTGTTTTATGGGAAACAAGGAATTGTAGTTTTTCGTTTCGGCTGTTTAATAATCACAGACAAGAAACGAACCCTTAAATGAAACAATAATAATGATGACAGGTGTTGCTGCAGACCCCGATGTTATTGTTAGAGTATTTTGCAATTTTTTATCAATTAATATGTTGTCGTTGCTCAACGTACATTTTATTAGAGTTTATAGTGACTACGTACTAAACCTGTCAAGAGCTTGAAGAAGCTGCAATTTGCAGCGAAACGTCGCGATTTGACAATAAATTAGTATTGCTGAACTCTTCCAACATCCCATTAATTATTCCTCTTATTATTGACCATGGAAATGAACAACGTCATGAATAATAATGATATGATAGCAATCTTGTAACTTAGGGATAAAATATTTGTTGATAAATTTTCCTCTGTATGAGATATTTTCATCCTGAAAAGGCACGGTCTGGTGTGAATTATCCGCCTCTTGAGCCAAATATTTCGTTGCTGTCAAAAGCAGAACAATTATTCATGTTTGAGACTTTCAAATTCGAACCAAACAAATTCTTTTTTGGCAATTTTCAACTAGCGATTTTGTTGGCCCAAACAGGACTTCTTTGATAACGTGTTTGTTTTTCTTTCAGTGTACACTGTTCACATTGCATCGATCTTATCGGTATTTTCTGTTCTAGTGGAACAGTATGTGAAGTCTGTAAGAGGACATTAGCACGAAGATTAGGAAAACAGGGTTACGAATGTAGGGATTGCTTACTGAAATGCCATAAGCATTGTCACGTTAAAGTCGACACCATGTGTTCGACATCAACAATTCAAAGCATAGAATTGTAAGTATCAGCTTAATAATGCATTATTGAACATGATATTTTTAACTTTCGTAAAAGTCAGTGAGTGCTCTATTTGCAACTTCTACAACACATTCTTCTGTTTGTTTTCCACATTTAATTGAAAAGGTCCCTACTGCCAGTACTGAGCGAATAAAATAGGTAAGCCGGCATTGATCAAGAATGCAAATTTCAACGAAATAACTTGGAAACTAACTTTGTAGCATGGTCATGAAATTCTCCCTGAATGTTTCTTACCCTATTTTTACTGCAGTAGTTACCATAGAGTTGACTTTAATTGCCATTGATTTTTGCATAATGCCTGCTTCAAGTAATTATTATGAATTGCCGTTTGACAAATAACATTTTAATTGACTCGCGACACTGAGAAAAATATTTTCATTGAATACTTCATGATTTGAGCAAGATATTTTTTCCTGGTTGCACCTGTTTTGTCGCGGAGAGAAAAGTTGGATAAACATTGACTAGAAAATCGTGGCAAATTTTACTATGTGAAAGGTAATCGTGGAGCGAAATTGTAATGCGATGGAGAATACGTCTTGCAGGGGATATCTTGTGATTCTTTCGGTAAAAAAACACATCTATGAATGTGAAAATTACTGTTCCCCGCACCAGCAGAGTATTTTTTTGGTTTCAATGTGAAGTATATGGGGGCGGGCGAAAGTGAAATTTTAACATGTTTCCTTTCCTTTCTAAAGAAAAGCATGCGCAATATCTCGAATTGAAAACGAGCACTCGAACATGGCGGATATCTCGAACGAACGGAGAAAGCAAGGCGGTTTTCATGAATACAATCGTCTTGCGTCGAATTTTCATGAAGCCCGCCTAACAAACAAAAGAGAATTGAATACCATTCTATGAAACATGAGTAAACGAATCATAATTGTCCAAATCATTTAGGTCGGAGGAAAATAGAATAACTCTACTTTTTTAATATTGCGTTTATCTCATTTTTGACGTTAAGGATAGGAAAATTTGAATGTAATATAGTGAAAATGATGATCGATTTTTTCACTTTGAACAAATAATATTAATATCCAATACAAAAATACAAAATTTCTGATATGAAGAAAAAGAAACTGTGACTCAACATTCCAAATGAAGTTTTAATTTTTAATTTGGTGCTGAAAACACGAGATGACAATATTCTAAGCACGGAATTATATTGATGAGATGAACAACAGATTAATTGAATTACCGGGTGAACTAACTAAAAATTGATAACAGTGTGGGCACGCACTTTTACCAGAGTATCAACAAACATTGAATTCCAGAAATTCACACTCTAAAGTGTATTCTAGAAGGAATTGAATTGTGATTATGATTAAAATCTTATTCCGCGAGCATAGGAATTAGAACGTGAGGAAATCATTTATTGTAATATGAAAATTTAACAGTTGATAAATTGGGACATATGATTTTCATCAGTCGAATTACTTTTTGAGAATGATTATAAACAACTAATTGAAAGATGTAATATCGAATCTGAAAATATCATCGGAATATCATCTTTTATTGCTTTTTGCAATGAGAATGATTATAAACAATTGATTGAAAGACGGAATATCGAATCTTAAAGGAAAAAAAGGCATCAACTAGTAGAAAAAAAACATTCTCCGTCACAGAAAAATTCCCACACAGCGAAAAAAAAATCATTATTCGTCTCGCCCTTTCCGCCCCGATAAAATCTAAAAAGGCCATAAAAATGGATTTCGCTCCACGATTACTTGACTTGTTTGGTGATTTCTCTCCACCCTCTTTCTCCGTGATCATGATGTTAAATTGGATTTGGCATTTATTGCAGAACGTACATCCGGACACCGCAGCTCGAACGGAAATTTTCAACCCGTCGATGCTGAAGCAACAATTGAAGGCTATAATTGATGATCCATTCGTCCATAATAATCAAACAAGAATTTAAGTTGTTAAAATAGGCCCTCTCACGTCATTATCCTTGAATTTATTTGGGGAAAAGTATCATCTTTTCCAGTTAAAATTCAGTACTTTCGGTCAGAGTGACAGCACAGTGGCAATTAATAAGAGAGGGTCCACCAAATCTAGTCTAAAAACACGACTTTTAACTTAGTACACGCCCACAAATCTTCCATGTTTCGCACGACTGCATATATTTTATAAATAAATAGGAAAAGAGTGGCATTCACTTCCTTATACTGCAGGTTATACATAAATATCCCGATATATTCTCCATGAAATATAGTTTTTGCCTCTTCCAAGATGGCACAATCACAACAGTGACTTTTCTCACACCATCAAAACCAGAATAAACTGTATGAAAAATTCAACTTCCGCGCTGTCATTCGAAGAAGCCATAAATACCGACCAAGCATAAGTTGCTCTTATACTTGCATCATGTGAAATTCACCCCAATCACCTTAAGCGAAACATATTTGCAGACGAATCAGAATAGCCTTTATTGAGGATATCCAAGTACTTTGGCTATTTTTTCTCCAGTGAAATGCTTTCCTACTTTTGTAGTCGAACATCATTGCACAATAATTTCACAATGATTTTGTTATTCAAACTTTGCAGATCTGAATTTGAATCTCGATATTGAAATGTTAGAAAACATTTTGACAATCTGAAAAAAATTAGAAGGTTTACTGCTGGAGGAAGATTCGCTGAGAGAAAAATAGACATAATATGACAAAACTAATTTCTTGAGTGGAGAACTTCGCATGCATATTTGATAAATTCACGATAGGTTTCAGACAAGAAATCGATGCTCTTCGGGCTAAAGAAGGATGATACTGAATAGAAAAATCATATTTTTTTCTGGAAATTGGATAATATTCCTGAAGAGACAAAGTAAATTTGAGAGAAGGAAAAGATGTTATTGCTTCCCTTCGAACTCATTGCGATTGAGAGCAAGTGACTTATATTTTAGAAATATCTGAAGGTCCTCCCCTGTTTAAATTCTGTATTCATTCAATATGAAAGTCTCTGATCCAGAATTCACTGAATGAAGCTTTTAGTATTTTCAGTACTTTTCTCATCTTTTGACACGAAATAAACGATTTCTTGAGGCAAGAAATTCTCACTTTATCGTCAAGTGTTCGTGTGCAAGTCATGAACATTTCACAGGATTCTTACACGGTCTGACTCATTATGCGGATTTGTTATCCCAAGTGTCTTATCCTTAAGCAATGAGATATTTGAAGCAAGAAATTAGTTTTGTGATATTATGTCGGTATTTCTCTGTCTTGATGAAACAATTTAACATTTGAAATTTTTGAAAATTAAGGGTAGGGGAGGGTGGGGCAAAACGGCCCCCCTTCAATTGTCAATAACTTGTGAATGACATTGTGAAAATTCCCAGTTTCAACTTCATTTTGAAGATAATTTTTCATTCTTCAAAACGAGCTCTAACTCATCCCAATCGGATTATTGAATCGGAAAATATTGACGATTCAAGGGGGGCCGTTTTGCCCCATCCTCCCCTATTTTATATAAATAATTTACAAACAATCAATTTTTCACCCAAAAAATGATTTGTGTAGAATCTTAACAAGCTTATTCATATTCAGAATTTTAGAACGTTTCAACAAGTTCATTTATTTATTTATAAACAATAAATATTTAAAAATTCATAATTCCTTGCAAAATGTCACTTGAATGACGCTGAATACTCATGATTTATTTCAAATTGTTCAATTAAATTACGTGAGAATAATTTGAAATAAATCATGAATTCAAATACAATTTCAATTATTTGTTTATAAACAACAAATGTTTAAGAAATTCATAATTCCTTGCAAAACGTCACTTGAATGACACTGAATACTCATGATTTATTTCAAATTTTTCAATTAAATTGCGTGAGAAAAATTTGATGATTGAGAATGACAAAAAATCCTTGGATATCCTTAATTATTTTTTTCGACTCAAATTTTCTTCTCGAATTATACAATAATATATCGTTAACAAGTTATTTATATTAGTACTTAAGTTCCGATATTTTTTTAAATACATTTATCGGTGTGTAACCATGGATATTTATAAAATGGCGAATGAATTGTGCAACTATTGATTAGTTACCGAATTCACTCTACGAATAATAAGCATACAAGTACAAGATTCATACACTAAAGGATTGAGAGAGGACTTCATTATTCGCATCGCATTTCGTCCAACCACATACACACACTTCATAAATTTTTTCAAATACATTCAATCAAATAATGAAAGTAAATTAGATTTTTATCGATTTCACGGGACAAGAGGACTAGTTGACATTAGATATTTCGAATTTCTTTTTCATGAGAATTTGTATGACACCTAGGAGATATGACTTTATCTCATCTACATTAGTGTGAAATAACGACTGCAGAGCACTCAAAAAAGAACTTAGTGATAAACGATATGATTCAACATGGGCTGTGAGGGGCTTGGCGAAAATTATATGAAATATTTGAGGAGTTGAAGTGAAGCGTTACAGCAATGTGCACGGCGAAAAAATATTCTGTACTTAGAAAGACATTTTTTTTCGCGGATTTTTAATCTGCGTGCACTAAGAGTATTGCAGGCCTACGCCTAAAATTTCATTTGTAAAATTTTCGACGCGATAAATAATCAAAAAGCCTTGTCAATTAAATTTACAAAACAATTATTTTTCCCAATCGACAAACAGCGAAATAAATCTTCTAACACTGATATAAATTCTCAACGTAACTAACGACTGCAGCACAATAAAAGTGGAGTAAGCAAAGACGCCGCGTTAACAGAAACGAATATAGTGGCCCAAGTGTTAACAGTAATAGTGCCTCTAGATAAACTCGTACCATTGACTAGTATTCGGAAATTAGATTGACGAAATCTTTTGAAGGATCAAATAGGCTTCCTCTTTTGAATCCATGAAATTCTCCGATTTCTACTTGTTAAAGAGTATATACAATAAACTATAAATAAGATGATTATATCGAAATGTTGGATTTATATTACGCACACATCTCGATTATAAAGAATACGCAATCATGAATGGAAATAAAAACTTACAATGTAAAAATAATGAGTCAAGGGAGAGAAAAGGAAAATACATTATGATCGCACAAGTTTTATTCTTCGTTTATTTAAATATCCCTCATTCCTCCACTATCCGAGAAGGCACAATATAACGTTCGATTGCTCACGGATGGATCAGATAACACTAAAGTTGGAAATAAAACTCTAAAGACAACAATAGAAAAAATGATATGCAAAAAAAATAATGCCTCATTTCAAGATTTCAAAGGTCTTAAAATAAGATTTTCAAAAGTCGCATTTTGAAGCCTGAAATTCTTAAGTTGAGAGTTTCGAAAGTCTCAATTCGAGACTTTCATAGACTCAAGTTGATAGTTTTTAATGCCTCAAGTTAAGTCTTTTGGAACGCAACTTGATCTTTTCGAAGTCTCAACTTGAGACTTTCGAAAGAATCAAATAGAGATTTTAAAATCTTAATTTGAGACTTTACAATTTCCATTTGATTGTTCTGAAAGTCTCAAGTTAAGACTTTGGAAAGTTCCAATTTGAGACTTGAAAGTCTTGACTTGAGATTTTCAAATGTTAACTTGAAACATTCAAAAGTCTCAACTCCAAATTTTCAAAGGGTTTAAAGTGAGATTTTGAAAGTGTCAAAGTGAAAAGTTTCAAAGAGAAAGTGTCAAATTGAGATTTTCAAGTCTTAAATGGAGACTGGAGAATATCAAGTTGAGACTTCCAAAGTCTCAATTTGAGATCGTAAGTTTTAAATTGAAATTTGTTTTATTTTTGGGTGTTGTTTCTCCAATTCCTACACTGTCAGGAAAAAAAAGGAATTTGATGGACAGTTGACTACAAATTTTTAGGACAGCAACCATTGAATGCGATTTAGAGGCAAAAAATCGTCAAATTTCAGGTTTTAATAAAAATTCAGTAAAATTCCAGAATTTACGCAGCATAAAGACGAGAATTCATTAATTTATTTAAATTATCAATTTAATATGAATATTCAGTGCCAAATTGAATTGGATTTTCAGTGAAATCGGAAATTTCCAATTTTTTTCCCCCTAAATCGCATTCAGCGTCACTGTCCTGAAAATTGAAGAATGTATTAACCGGAATCTTCTGGTTTTCTATTCATTTTCAGGGAAAAATGGGATTGAAATTTACAGTTCTCTTCGATTCTTCCGCGAAAGTCTGCATTTTCAATAACGAAATTCCTTGAAAATCTGAAAGTCTTGATTTTAGATTTTCAAATCTCAACTTGAATCATTCAAAAGTCTCAACTTCAAATTTTCAGAGGGTTAAAAGTGAGATTTTCAAATTTTAAATTGAGCTTTTTAAGTCTTAAAGAGAGCAATTTGACATAGTAATTCTCAATTTGAAACTTGAAAATTTCCATTTGATTGTCCTGAAAGTCTCAAGTTGAGACTTTAGTAAGTCCCAATTTTGGACTTGAAAAGTTTAGCCTCGATTTTAGTCTTTCGTACTGATAGAATGTTTCATTTATTCCAAACGAGATTCATTAACTATTAACAAATGGTAGACTTGAATATGACCACATAAATATTCGTTAATAGTTAACGAACGGTTCAAAGTTTGAAAGTTGAAAGTCGAGTCAAATAAGACTTCTCAAATATGCATTCGCTAACAATTAACAAATGAACATTTGGTGAGACCAAACAGACCCAGCCTTCAACCAAATCCATTTGTCAACAAGGACTAATCCCGTCTACCAGTGTGAAAGTCCTAACTTGAGACCTTGAAGTCTCCAACTGACATCCTAAGTCTCAATTTGGAGTTTATTTTTTTGCTGTTGTTTCTCCCACATCTAGAAAAACTTGTACTCTCCGATATTCTTAAACAAGCCGATCACATCGAAATGTTGAATGTTCAATTCCGCACACATTCCGATCTCAAAGAGCCCCCAATCAACAAAGAAAATAAGAGCCCACACCATAAACCAATGAATCAAGAAAGAAGAAAGGAAAATACATTCCGCTCGCCCAACTTTTCCTCGCCGTTTATTGAAAAATATTCCCCTCATTCCTCCGCCATCCGCGAGTGCCCACCACCGTTCAATTGCCCACGAATGTATCAGATAACACCAAAGCTGCCAATAAAAGCCAAAAGGGAAGGAAAAAACCGGCTACTCGTTGTTTCCCCAATACCTCTAATACTCCATAATGACTCAAAACTCTAATAACAAACCGACTCGTCTCGTACAAGGATCGGAAACTCAACGAGAACAAGGGGAAACGAGGCGAGCAACAATGCCCATCAGCAAGCCATTACGGTATTACAGGCGCACACCGGTTGAACCGTCAAATTACTGGATTGATCGATACCAAGACCGTGCCTCCGTTGTGCGTCTGCCGAAGAGCTCCAAAGATCCAGGCCTTTTTTATTACCAGCCCTGTAACTCCTTCCTCATCGTTATAATCGGCTCGAGTATCAAAGTAGGGGGGAAGAAAAATAAAATGGCGCAGCCCCAATCCGCGCCGATGATTCCGTCAAAATAATCAGTAGTTAATCAATTCCGACGCCTTCATTAAATTATCGATTAATATCGATTAGAAAATAAAATACGGAATTAATGAAGATGAAAAAATCGTCATTTTGCATTGTTTTGCAATGAAAATAGTGGGGCGGGGTCAGCCCGCGCCTCCCACTCACAAAAATCGCGTCAGTCGGATCTCGGCAATAGTTTAGCCTTCAGGAATTCAGGATGGAAGGCCCAGCCCATGGGAGCTCGGTGCCCGCCCAATCCTTAAACATCAACGAATCACACTTGCCCAGCCCACTGAATCCCTTTGAACTGGTTGAACGAGAGAGAAATGCCGCGGCGGCGGCTGGGGGGGAGTGGAGCCGCGCGAAAGAGACCCAGCGATGATGCGCAAACGCGAAAGAACACCAACCCGTCGTCATCGAGTTGAGGTATCGATATAGTCTCTCGACCAGTTGAATCACGGGTAGGAGCACGGGTTTTTGTTGAGAGGATTTCGCGATAGTGTGAATCGTGTGTCAATGGATTTTTAAGGGTCAGAAGTCATGTCGTCGATGGTGTTCTGATTATTTTGGGGGTCAGTTGGTGTGATGCTGGGGATTTTTCCGGTCAACGGGAGGAGATTCCCTCCATTTTGGAGAACAGCGTGAGGTTCGCTTTAGTATTCGCTGCACTGACAGGAAAAATGAATTTTATCGAGGGAATTTTAGTTGAAACAACTGGTGTTTGGTTGTTAATTTTCAAATAAACATGATTTCATGGTGAATACCACACGGCAAAAACGAATGTGTGAATTTCGCACACCTTTTGTGGACATTTTTCAGACACGAAAAAACGTCTGAATAATATGAAAATTTGTCTTAATTTCAAACATGAAATAAGATGTTTGGGCACCTGTTCGTCTGAGATTCAGACACATTTTCATCTTATTCAGACGTTTTTTAGTGTCTTAAAAATGACTACCAAAGGTGTGTAAAATTCAGACATTCGTTTCTGCTGTGCAGTTATCTCTTCTTGAGATACATTTGATTGGGAGAAATCGAACATCTCCAGAATTGAAGGCCCTTTTATTCGTCGCAGTAATGAGAGTATTTGATTTTTTTCAAGCCAAAAGTTTGCCAACTCCAGAAATTCGTTGGTTTACTCAAAAATCAAAATTATTGTCATGACTAAGTACGTTGTTATCTCAATCAACACGATCATACGTTGTTCCAAGTAAATTATAATTGAAGTGAGCATTTCGTTTGTCGAATCAGGATGGATATTGTTACGCGGAAAAAGCTTTGAGATTGTAGTCAGATGTCGTTGAGTTGAAAGAAGTTTATATTTCTTGACTAAAAAATGGCATTAGTTTACAATAACAGAATCACAGATTACGGCAATTCAACACAAACTTGGATATCACAAATTTCGTTCAATGTGATGTACGGAAAGCTCAATCTAAACATCGGCTTCATTCGAGAAAACAACATTCAATTAATTCCTCAATGTAATCATCTCCTAGGTACGAATTTTTGCTCAATTCATTAAAGTAGAAAATTTCTCGACTGGAGATTATATTAGGTTAAAAAAAAATAGAACTTTTCCATTTTTGTGGTGAACGCATGCGACTTGACGCCAAGGACTGTTTTATTTGATTCAAGTAAATGTATCTCAAGAAGAAATAATTGATATTCACCGTAAGATCTTATTTATTTGAAATTGGTTCAAGTATGTAGCACTTGTTCCAAGAAAGAAACATCTCAGTAACAATAATTTTTTTTTTTTTTTTTCTATCAGTGTAGATGATGATGACGTGTGGTGAGTGGAAAAGGGCGGTAAAGTGTCAGACGGGGGAGATGCAATGGCGTAAGAATTGATCGATTATTGGTTCGATGAGTCGAGGCCGATGACACGGCAGTTGATGAACTCATAAAGGCATTGTCACAACGATCCGCTGATTTAATTAGGTGATTTTAGTGGGGGTGACTCGGAGTCACTGATAGGACGTGAATACACAGTTATCTACGATGTTAGAGGAACTCCTGCAGACCTCGGCTTGCAGGAACCTGTAGTTCCCCTGGAAGATATATATTTGGATGGTGAGAATGCCAAGACCGTCGAGGGAATCGTACAATGGCGAGCAGAAGCCGCCATACTCGTACATATCGCTGACGGCAATGGCGATATGGTCCTCGAGTGAGAAGATGCTGCCACTCGCTGAGATATATCGATTCATCGCTGACAGGTTTCCTTATTATCGGAGGGACACCAGACGCTGGCAGAACTCGTTGAGACATAATTTATCGTTCAATGATTGTTTCATCAAGGTGAGTCGATCGGAAATTGAGAATATTTTTTTTTTATTTAGGATTTTTTTTGAGGGGAGGTTCAGCCCGGATAAAAAGTTTTCGAGCGATTTTTCCTGATGAATTTAACTGAAGATGAGATTCGATTTTTTTAAATTTGAAAATCAAGTTTAAAAAAATCCGCAACGTATTTTTTTTTGAAATTGTTTTTTGAATATGATCACAAATTTTCGCTGCTTAATTATGAAAAATGTATGAGGATTGAGTGTTTCAATTCGAGGATGATTATTTAGTATCAGCCCGGGTTGTACCGAGCGCTCTCAAGTGTAATATAAGGGTCAGACACTAAGTGTGAGAATATAAGTGTCAAAAAGTGGAGGTTAAAAATGAGGGTTGGAATATTAGAGTCCAAAATTGAGGGCCTGAATGTAAAGGTGAAGGAATGAGGGTCAGAATGTTAGGGTTAAATATAAGGGTCAGAGACTAAATGTGAGAATATAAGGGTCAAAAAATGGAGGTTAAAAAATGAGGGTCGGGATATTAGAGTCAAAAACTGAGGGCCTGAATGTAAAGGTGAAGGAATGAGGGTCAGAATGTTAGGGTTAAAAAAAGAGGCTCAGAATATTAGGATAAAAAAATTAGGGTCAGAATATAAAAGTAAAGAAAGTGGGTGTCAGGCAGTGAGGGTTATATAAGAGAAATATTCAATAAAAATTACGTATCTTTTCCGTAATTCCAGAGCGAAATGTGGTTGTAGGAAATTTTACGGAACTGTCACGGGATTTTTCCGGAGCGTTCCGTAATTTTCATCTGAATCTCTTGTGAAAAATTACGATACCGTCACTTAAATTTTCTGAGTCGATTCCGTAATCGGTGAGTGAAGTGAGAGTTTCGTAATTTTTACTGAACATTTCTCTCCGTGCAGAGAAATGTGCAAATAGAGTAGGTAAATTTGAACAGCCTCATCTCTCTATATAATAAAAAAATAAGGGCAAAATTTAAGACAATTCAGGCGACGCAAAAATTCAGGCGACGCCAAAATTCAGGCGACGCAAAAATTCAGGCGACGCCTAAAGGTGGGGGGGGGCGGTCAGGGGGTGCCCAAGG